CCCTGTCTCTACTAAAAATACAAAGAATTAGCCGGACATGGTGGTGGGCGCCTGCAGTCCCAGCTACTGGTAAGGCTGAGGCAGGAGAATGGTGTGAACATGGGAGGCGGAGCTTGCAGTGAGCTGAGATCGTACCACTGCACTCCAGCCTGGGTGACAGAGCGAGACTCCATCTCTCCATCTCAAAAAAAAAAAAAAAAAGAATAATCAAATATCACATTGACAAACAGAAAGGAACCTTTTATAAACATAATGACATTGTGCAGATGTTGTGGTAATCACTTTATATACAGTATATTATCCTTCCAACAGCTGTATGACCTATAAATTCTTAGTATCTTGTCTAAGGGACCTGAGCCAGGATTTAAACCTAGCTCTGTCTGACCTAAAAGCTTATTTTTAACTATATTATACTACTGTTGTACCAAAGCACTGAGTATTTATACCAGGTATTTAGCAGCTAAGTCACAAGGATCAAAGAAAAGTAACTAAAGCATAAGGCAAGGCACCTATGTGCAGACTAAAACATGTAGACCTCCCAGTTCATAAAATTATAGAAAACCATCAATGTCTATAAACTCAAGAATGGCGATCAGCAGTATCAACATAGCCTGACTCATTATCAAATATTCTTTAATGAGTAAGAAACAAACTAGATTGGATAGATTTGGGAGTTCTATCCAGAATGTTATTTCAACAAATCTCATAAGGTAAATTTTAGCTTGACATATGATTCTGTTGCAAATAAATCTCCTTCCCAGGTTTGACACTACAGGCCAACATGTTCAGCTTGAATTCTGTCTGTCCCAGAATTATGGATCCTTTCACATGTAAGATTTGTAACAGTAATTCATTCATTTATGGAAAATGCAGTCTTGTAGGGATAGCAAGAGAAGACGTATTTGGGGGTTAGGTATGTCTGTATTTTCAGAGAGTAGTATCTACCACTGATCCTTATTTAAAAGCCTGCTGACTCGTTGCCTTGCTCTGATACTCACTTAAAAACCCAAGCATCTATCTATGAACACTATTATTATTATCATTTTTTCAGACAGTTTCACTCCTGTTGCCCAGGCTGGAGTGCATTGGCGCGATCTTGGCTTACTGCAACCTCCACCTCCCAGGTCCTGCCTCAGCCTCCTCAGTAGCTGGGATTACAGGTATGCACCACTACGCTTTTAGTAGAGACGAGGTTTCTCCACGTTGGTCAGGCTGGTCTCAAACTCCTGACCTCAGGTGATCCGCCCGCCTTGGCCTCCCAAAGTATTGGGATTACAGGCGTGAGTCATTGCACCTAGCCCCTCTGTCCTCTGATCTTTTTGAGGAGAAAAACCAATAGTATAAAGCATTTTTTAACTACTTCTTCATCAGACAATAGTTCTCAATTTTAGATGTACCTTAGAATCACTGGGGAAGGGAGGAAAGGAAGTAGAGGAGGGGAGGAAAAGAGAGGACAGAAAATAAAGGAGGACCAATGCGTAGTCCTGACTCCAGATCATTTAAGTCAGAATTTTTGCTGGTGAGCCTGGGCATTAAGATTTGTTTTCTACAGTTCACTCAGATTCTAATACACAACCAATGTTAAATTTATGACTTAAAGGATTCAATTGCCTAGCCTCAGTAGAGATTAACTGTGGGTCACAGCTATTTGTTGTGATGGACACTGTGAGCCAAGTGTCCAGAAAGAATCATAGCATATCCCTACCTTTTGTCTTCTTACTTGTAATGATTAAAAGTGGAGATACTGGGCTACGAAAAACAGAGCCTTCTAGTAGGTGTGTATGTTACCAGTATTCTTATACTGTCTGAAAGATGAAAAACTGAGTGACAATCCTTGTAGTAACTTAATTCCAATGGCATGATGTTACCTGGGTGGCTGGTTGCTAAAGACATAAAGGATGAGTAGGTTCACTGCCAACCAATGCCACAATGAACAGGCAACTGAGAAATTTAGAGGATGGTCCTTCCAGGCATCCATTCACAGCCATTCCTCTGACAAACTATAGGAAAAAAGCAAAATTTAGATGTGAGAAATATATTCCTAGCATATATACACGATAATGGATTGATAGTATTTTGAAGGAATTCCTTAAGAACAACAGAGAAGGACAAGAAGATGAACAGGAATATTCTACATCAACAGATAAAGGATAAAAAATTGTGGCCTTGGCAGGTGACCTAAAAGTTAATAGTCTTTTACAGCTATTATACAATCTGTATATACTGTCGTAGTCGCTATATCTTTATACCACAGTGTACCCAGGATAAACCCTTAAGATTTCATACATCATATTAAAAATGGATGAGTCTGAAACATTTAATTTCATATCATAAATGGATATTTTTCTCAAATAAAAAGCATCCTGGCAGGTGAATGAAAAATGTGACATGAAATGGAATGCTTGAAATACCAAGTAGGCTTTTAACTAAAACTGTTTATAAAAAGGTGTAAGTGAAGTAATTGGCTTATTCTTAGGTCCTTTTCTATGAACTCCCGAACAAATGTTAGTTGTACAATAATGCTAGTTAAATACGTTTCTAAATACTTTTATTGTTAATGCATAGTAAATGTATTAAGTCACTGAAGGAATGAATTAGTATTTAGTACTCCAGAGTTCAGAACTTGAAAGGAAAGGTAAGAATCTAAGAGACAGGTTTATTATCTACTTCTTTAAATGGTTCCCTTTTCATTTTTAAAGATATCAAGTGACAGCATGATTACTTGAAGGCAAATAAGTAGTTCGAAAAGAGATGAGAAGTGGCCGCCAATTTAATTTTTCACTACTGATAAAGAAATATCAGATAGCTTTGGAAGATCACTTTAGAAAGAAACCAGTTCCTATCCCATTTGTGATAAGGCATTAAGCACGGGACAATGAACTTGGTAAGCTTGCAGATCAAAGTAAACAAGCAGTACTTATAAAAGCCCAAAGTTGGGAAACCATGGTAGATTGGGAAGACAGCCATAGAATAAGAGACGCTTCTTGTTTTTGTTAGACAATGCACGGTAACTAAATTAGAAGATAAATGTAATTATTAGCAGAAAACAAGCCTCGGGATCCAGAACACACTCCAAAAATCCCTTCACTTCCTACCTTGTTTCCAATTGAGAGGGTAATTTGTACTTATTGAGACCTAGTTGAAGATTTAGCAACAGCAGGAACCTTTATATCACAGAGAAAATTTTCCATCACATCTTCACCACCAAGAACTTTTTTTCAGTTAGGAAGAATTATACCACTTTTATTAGATAATGCAGACCCTTAAACTAGGGACAAAGGCCTAATTTTTAAAATGTAAGAACCACAGTATAGTTTTATTAGATTGCCAAGTATCAACTTTACTTTTGGTATAAGCACCCTTGCTTGAATCAAAGTCTATATTTTGGTTTTGGCACATAGAATTTAAGACTACAAGTTAGTAAAAGTTCTAATTTATATAGTACCAGTTTTTTTCTTTCTTCTGGTTACAATCCCAAGACAGCATTGTTTCAAAGGCAACTGGATAAACTGAGGCGCTAGAAACTTTTAGATCTTCTTTCCTATAATATGCTGCTCCCTCTCCCTACTTTTAATATATCTTCATAAAAGGGGGTGTGTCCTAAGCTGGGCATGGTAGCTTGTTCCTATAATCGCAGCTGTTCAGGAGGCTGAGGTGGGAGGATTGCTTGAAGCCAGGAGTTCACAATCAATAAGCCTGGCGAACATAGTGAGATCCCGTCTCTATAACAAAACATCAACAACAAAAGAGGGGGTGTGTCCTGATGGAGGCAGCTGGTTTGAATATACTATATAACCAAGATGGCACATAAAAGATACTCTTCTGATTTATTAAAACAGCATTATTGGCTGGGTGCCATGGCTCACACCTGTAATCCCAGCACCTTGGGAAGCCGAGGTGGGCGGATCACCTGAAGTCGGGAGTTCGAGATCAGCCTGACCAACAGGGAGAAACCTTGTCTCTACTTAAAATACAAAATTAGCCGGGCATGGTGACGCATGCCTGTAGCCCCAGCTACTCTGGAGGCTGAGGCAGGAGAATCATTTGAACCTGGGATGCAGAGGTTGCAGTGAGCCGAGATCGCGCCATTGCACTCCAGCCTGGGCAGCAAGAGCGAAACTCCGTCTCAAAAACAAAACAAAACAAAAATACCAGCATTATTTTCTCCAGAACCTCCTGCACATTACCAATATTTTAATTTCAACATCCATCTCAGATTGCATACTGAAAGGTAAAAGTGCAATTCAGTAATCTTTTCCAAAAATGTTTTATTGCTACAGGTTGAAATTTTTCAACCATCAAAATTAGAACGAAATTTAAGTTTCTGCTCACTATGGTTTAACACAGCCATTTCATGGGACTTTGTTTTTAATGTAGGTTGGTAGTATAGTTCAGCAAAGTTTAGATGATAGCAGAATGGTATCTTGAAACTTTGTCTATAATTTAAAGAAGTGGGGCATGAGCTGTAATAGAAAGACTGCCTTCTATCTGAAAGGTCAGTCTTTGAATTCTCAAAGATTCATTTCAAAATTTAAGGCTTTAATTATCTGACACCAGTATATACCTATCTTGCAACAAAGTCCAATATTTGATGTTACAGCTTTTCGCAAATACTATACATGGTAACTGAAATATTCTTAGAAATTGTACAAAAGACTTCCCTGAACTTATCACAACCTACCTGAATCTGGACCACACTTTTTTTTTTATCTCTTCATAAAGTCACAGCTTTCATTTCACAGCTCTAATAGCAATACAACATGGGAATACAAACAACACTGTGAAAAACAAGGGCCTGACAAAGCCCACAGCAAAGCTATTCACTAATATTGGCATTACCTTTAGCCATGCTATTAGAGATCACACTTTATTTTTGTGCATAATAAATAAGATACAGAAAAATGTTGAAAATATATGACTCAACTATCTAATTAAAGCTGAGTAAACTAACCTAGTTAGATTTTAGTTTTTCAACGAGAAATGACAAGAGTAGCTGAATATAAAGAAAAACAAAAAGAACTTTACTTTCCTATGTTAATACAGGTCAAGAGACCCTTTCTTCTCAAAAGGGTTGGTAACACCAGTTCTTAGCAATAAACATAAGGCACTTGTTTAGATTACAACATCACTCCATTTTTTCCACTTGTTTTTCTAACCCTGTTTTTCCCCCACAGTATCATTTGAAATTAATAGGATGAATGAGGCAAATGAGAGACGATCCAGTTGATACTACTCAGAGCAAGATAGTACAGTACAGTGTTTCAGGGGTGATGTCTGGACATAAAATGAACCCAGTCAAGGTCCTCTGACACCAATGTATCCACTATCAAGTAAACCTGAAAGAAAATAAAAGATTTATTCAATAGTTCCAGTAAAATTGGGTTGGAATACAATATACATGTTAGGAATTTAGCTCCTCACGGGTGGCATCTGCATCTTAAGAGTTCTGAGTACTTATGAATATTCATTCTGAGACAATCTACATCATTTGAACATTGTCAAGACAAATAGATGAATTTCATTTCAATATACAGTAGAGTTTAAACAAAATTCACACATACACCCCCTATTATATGGCTGGTACCTCCTCCAAACACCTCATTAGTGGCAGAGGCAGGACTAGTGTTCTTTCCCAACAATAAAAACTTCAGTTGCCACTCATAGGAGTTGAAAAAAAGTTTTTGTTTTTTTGCCATCTGTTAAGATGTTCCTGAGACAGGGCCAGTTAATAAAACATAACAAAGCACTGGAGTTCAGTTTGTACTTCTCTTTACATCACTACTGAACTGTTAGACTGGGATGTGGAATGCAGGTTATGTACTATGAAAGGTTGATTGTAGCACAACTGTTCAGTCAGTAAAAGGTCTTCGGCAAATTCCCTTTAGAGTATACTTTCTATAAACTACATGTTCCACAAAAAGGTCAATTATATATACAATTGATTCATTTTACTTAATCTTATTTGCTCAGATCCTGCAAATGCAATGAGAATATTAAGCCTGAGGCTAGTTCTCAGTGTATAGGTTTAACAAATTAAGGCTCATTTTCCCAATCAAAATAGTTTTTAGTTTTCCTTTTAAATTATGAGTTACATTCATAGTACCTGCCACCATCCTTGCCTTCAATGAAATCTTAATGCAGGAGCAGCATTCTACTTCATTATAGAATTTCCCTGACACCAGCACTTAGCCCCTTCTAAAAAGTTCCCATCTGCACTAGCCTTACAGCATTATTACATTGCCTCTGGCTTGCACCTCTGTTTCCACCTGTGTATTTCACAGAAGCCCAACACAGATTAGTTGAAATATTCACACAACTGTTTTTCAAAACAATTTATTGCATCATATTTGGTACCTTATGTTTGACAACAAAAAGGAAATTACATCTGTAACTGCAAGAAAAAGAAGCTGGTCTGTTATTTGAAAAAAAAAAAAAAAAATCTTGGGCCCTTTAAAAATTACAAAGTCTTGGGCTTGCCTGAAACGACTGAGCAAGAAATATATTCTTAGAAATGTAGGGCTTCAAGTATTACAAACCTGTGACACTGTGGAAAAATTCCAGAGGTATCTAAACTGCAGCACTTTTTTTTCTGCATATCGTGAACAAGGCCTGCTGAGGTTTTTAACTATTAGTCTTTTGATCAGTCATAGAATGGTAGTCAGGAGTTCTGCTGTTTAACTTCAAGCCATGGTAGATTTTCCTTTTTTCACTCTTGGGTGAAAAATTCATGCTTGCTAATTAGTTGGTGCCACATCACAGTGCATTTGGTTCTTGCATTACAGTTTTAACAAGTTTGGCCAAACAATGCTGAAAGGTTTGCATTGTTGTTTTAGTTCTTCAAGTTTTAGTTAAAATTGAGACTGTTACAACTGGTTCCTTCAGTTAAAAACTGTGGTACAAGAACACCAAACTGATCATGTACAGTGAATTTTGGAAACACAAGCGTACTGAACACCTTATAGGTTTCTTATAATTTTGCTTGGTATCTATATGTCCCAGTTTCTACAACATCAAGCATCTGTTGTAGGTTTCTCTGTAAATAGTGATTCACATTGCATACTTCCTATGGTCAGAATCAACCCCGTAACAAAATCAGTCAGATGCTAAAGCCCCAACAACTCTTTGTGCTCAGTGAAAGAATCCAGTGCTAAAACAGCATTTATGCTGTCTGAGATATAGTAAAATCTCACAAGACAAATTTAAAGTAATATTTCTGCCACACACCTGCTTTGTTAGCTGTAACAGCCTCCAGATTTTATATAAATTAGTTTAAAAACATGGGTGGGTGGGTAGGAATAGGATAAGATATCTTTTTTAACCACTCAATTTTAGCAGCTTTAATTTTTTAAGAAACTGAACCTCTATCCTGTAATGTTAGATATTTTATATATACTTTTTCAGCAGGATAAAAAACGTAAAACACTATTTGAAGGCAAGAACATTTACTCCTCTCATTCTGTGTAAGTTAGAGCAATGCAGCAGGTGCGTGACAAAAATATTATATACTAGATATGGTCCAAAGTCATTCCATTTGCTTGTTTAGTGATGTTCAAATTTCATTGGCCAGTTCTTCAGCTTCTGCAGAACTATCTCCATTAACTGTGATCTTCATATCCTCTTCATATCCAGGAGGCATGAAAGCCAAAGCATAAGGAAAAAGCTTATGACAATTTGCTCTATAAACTTCAGCAGCTTCTTTACAGTCTCCTAGGCTACCATCACACAAGGCTTCCAATACCTCCATACATGTCTAAGGAAAGAAAACAAGTCATGTTATAACTGGTCAAAAAAAGGTTCTTACTGTGAATTTATTAGACATTTCAACAGCAAGAGATTTCTAAAATAAGAAATAAATACACATATTTAGCTGTTTACTCCTGGATATACATTCTATTAGAATGTTCTTCAAGGGCTAATTTAACCATTTCTCCAGAATTGCAGGATTTATACAAAAGGCTAAGCAGGGATGACTGTAGAAACCGGAATGGGACTATGGTGAGGCAAGCAAGGTATACAGGGTGCTATATTTAAAAAGTCGCTCACTCTCAGCATGTGAATGACCTTAGGCAGCAATGTTACCTCAGCCTAGCCTGGCCCTGGGTATAAACATCTAGATTTACAATGCCAATATCAATTACTGCACGTATGCCTTTTAATATTTTTGAAAGCTTAGAACCAGCCAGCAAACTCAAACACTGTATTCAACCTTGTGTTCAAATTAAAGAGCATCTTAAGGCACATCCAATAACTAAGCAGAAAAGAGTGTCTCAAACATGAAATGATTATTTGCAAGAAAAATTAGTTCATGAAAACGAGTAATTCTTTCAACCAAACCCCTAAGTAAGTCTGCTTCTTATCTTTTTTGTTGATTCATGTTGACTTGCATTTCTCATATTTGCTTTCTTAATATTTTCACTTAGAAAATGCTACTTAGTTTCCAGATACAAAAATCCCTACAAACTTTGCCAGGTTACAAAGCAACTTAAATCCAGGTTACAAAGGACCTAGGTTAGAACTTTAAATCCAGGTTCTAATCTAAATGGTACAACTAACAAGTCTAACTTTTCTTTCTTAAAGATACTGCCTTCAATTTGCTATTATATGAATATATTAATAACTGTCTTTCAGCATATACATGTTTATCTGGCAAATTATAACATGAGGTAGCTATCCATTTGTTTCTAGTTTAAACTACAGTATTTTACAATATACCCATATTAACTTTTATTTAACTTAATCTCATATTGTATTACAAGTTACAAAATAAGCATTTTTATTTAGCCCCTAGTAAATACATCTTTCTTTATTTTGAGAAAGGGTCTTGCCCTGTTGTCCATACTGGAGTACAGCGACACAATCACAGCTCACTGCAGCTCCAACCTTTCAGGTTCAAGTGATCCTCAAATCTCAGTCCCCCAAGTAGCCGGCAATACAGTGCCACCACATCTGATTTTTTTTTTAAGAGATGGGGTCTCATTATGTTGCCCTGGCTTGTCTTGAACTCATGAGCTCAAGTGATCTGCCCACTTTGGCCTACCAAAGTGCTAGGATTACAGGCCATGAACAACAACGCCTAGCCGAAATACATCTTAAACATGTTAGAATCTTCACTGAGACCACTGCTTGCTCACAAATGCAGATATGAGGTGAAATCCAAAAATGACTATGGAATATATATATGATTTTATTAAAACATATTTCTTAAAAAGCTATTCCAAGCTACAGATGTGAAACTAGTTACTGAATACCAAGTAGCCTAAATAAATTTTAAGATAAGTTGTTTCTGATCCAGGTTCATAATGATTTAAAGAACAGTGTGTATAAAAAACCAGTTATTTCTATTGGTGAAAAAAGTTCAGTATTCTTACAGAGAGATTATGAAAAACTCTTTACCTGGAGGTTTCTGTTAGTGAGAGATTCATCAAGTGTTGTTGCCAACTCTATAGCTCGCTTCTGACTAGAAGGATCTAAATAATATACCATTTTGGCAGCTAAATGAGAGGGAAATGGGAAATTTATTTCAAGGTAAAACCAACATCTTATCCTCTACTTATTTAAATATAAAAGGCAAACAAGATACATGTGCACAGAGGATGTGGCACTTTATTAGAAGAACGGGAACAACTACTTGAGACACTGTTATTCAAAAAATAGTAATTCTAAGGGGATTAGCTTAACCATTCAAAGTAAGAGAATGATAGAGGTATACCACGTATATCTACCCAATAAAATAGAATGTATATGCAAAACATGCACAGTAAAGGAGACTATGAAGAAACACAAGCATTCTAGTAATACTTGTCTTTTTGTGGTGGGACCACGATAGTCTTCTTTCTGAAATAAGCAGAATAATTTGGAGGTTGGGGGACTATCCTGTCTTGACAGTGTGAGCCAAAATGCTGAATTCAGGATTCCACAAAGATATACAAAGCTGCTGGGCTTAAGCCAGGTATTTGAAAAGTACTACCTATGTGGTCCCACAAAGGTCAGATTTTGGCTCATTGGCACAGACCTTTGCCTTAGGTTTCTCACAAACTGTGAAGATAATTTCAGGTGTTTAGCATTGTCAAGTCTGATACCTACATAAGAATGAGAAATGGAAGAGGATGGTCCTATCTGAGTGAATTTTAAGACCCCAAAGATGAAAGAAGAAATTAAAGAAAACTCTACCTTCATTTTATGATACACATTCAAGTTCAGTTACACTTGCTTCTTTGTAATGCCAATGCTGAACCAGAAGAGGCTACTGACCTTGATCTGTAGTCATTATTTTGCCATAAGAAATTTTAAAATGTATAGAAAGCGTGTGTGTGTGTGTGTGTGTGTGTGTGTTTTGCTTTGAAGCAGGGTCTCATTATGTTGCCCAGACTGGTCTCAAACTCCTGGGCTCAAGAGATCCTTCTGCCTCAGCCTCCTGAGTAGCTGGGACTACCAGTATGTGCCACTGTACCCAGCTTAGGAAGCTTATTTAAGCTGCCTGTTTTCATAGGATCACAATGTAACATATACACATTGCCACTTCCATTCTAAAAATGTGTACCTTATATTATTGTTGATTCATTAAAATTACTGAAGTTGTTTTAGAAGGCTAAGAAAGGATAAAATAAAGTGATTACCTGATAATCTGTGTGGCAATGAATCAGAATTCCTTTTCAGAAAAGTTTCATTAAAATTCTTTGGATTCGTTGCTCCAAAAAGACGATTCATTTCTTGTTTTAATACTGTTCTAACTGTATCCGGTAAATCTTTACTTTCACACACTGCTGAATAAATTAAAAATAAAATCTTAGCAGTTGAATACTCTGATAAAGTTTACAAAAGTTTGTTTTTGTTTATGTTTGAGACAGGGTCTTGCTCTATCACCCAGGCTGGAGTACAGTGGCACAACCATGGCTCACTGTAGCCTCAACCTTCCAGGCTCATGCAATCCTCCCACTTCAGCCCCCCAAGTAGCTTGGACTTCAGGTGTGCACCACCACGCCAGGCCTGTAGGAGTTAAATTACTTAATGATGAAGCCAATGAAACACGGCAATTATATACAAAAACAATCTACTGATAATTTAACATTTGCAAAAAGAGCTTACCTATATAAATCGACTGATTGATTGAGACAGACAAGGTTTTACTGCCACCTAAGCTGGAGTGCAGTGGCACAATCATGCCTCACTGCAGCCTGAACCTCCCACGCTTCAGTGATCTGCCCACCTCAGCCTCCTGAGAAGCTGGAACCACAGGTGTAAGCTACCATGTCCAGATAACTTTTCTATTTTTTTGTAGAGATGGGGTTTCACCACGTTGCCCAGGTTGGTCTCAAACTCCTGGGCTCAAGAGATCTGTTTGCCTTGGCCTCCCCAAGTGTTGGGATTGTTGGGCATGAGCCATCATGCCCAGCAATATACATTTAAAAGAATATATGTCAGCAGAACAATCTAGTGTTCTAAAGGCATTCAAAGAATTTTATTAACACAAGATTCATTTCCAAAAAGGAACTGTAAGCAAAGTAGATGAAAAAACATGTAGTTTCACAGCCTTCTAAACCCCTAGAGCTGCCCTCCTCGACCTTAAGGTCTGCAAAGCAACAACCTACCTGGTAAATAGTATCACAGCAACTATGTAATGCTGAAGACAACAAATTTTCCTCACCCTTTCTATCTTCCTCTATACCCAAGTAAAGCACATGTGTTTCAATTAAAAACAAAACAAAATATGGTTGATGTTATTGACCTTTATTTCAGAAACTATGTATATTGAGCTATCACTATATAATAAACTCCCAACGACCACCAAAGCATTTTCCTGTTAATAAATAGGCTGGGCACGGTGGCTCACGCCTGTAATCCCAACACTTTGGGAGGCCAAGGCAGGTGGATCACTTGAGATGAGGAGTTTGAGACCAGCGTGGCCAACATGGCGAAACCCCATCTCTACTAAAAATTAAAAAATTAGCCTGGCATGGCGGTGTGCACCTGTGGTCTCAGCTACTCAGGAGGCTGAGGCAGGAGAACAGCTTGAACCTGGGAAGTGGAGGTTGCAGTGAGCCAAGCTCATGCTACTGCATTCCAGCCTGGGTGACAGAGTGAGACTCTGTCTCTAAATAAATAAATAAATAAATGCACTGTTGTCATCATATTCTCAGGCCTTGGGATTTAGAGAAAGCAGACTCTAATTCCTCTGGATTGAATCCAAGTTACGCTTTGTTTCATTATCATTTTGGTATAGAGAGTCTGGAGCTTTGAAGTTAGTAGACTTGGGTATGGATCCAGGCTTGGATAAGTCATAACCTCTCTGAACCTATTTCTTGTTCTATAAAACTGGGGTGATATCTAATCTAAAAGGTTTACAGTAAGGAAAAGCTACTGTGTAAAAGTGCTAATTATGTAATAGGGGTGTAGTCAATAAATCATAGTTACTATTTTTATCATAGTGTGAAAACATTAAGTAGATTTTCCTTATGGCTGGGAACTATGGTGATGGCTTTCAAATTTTCACTTCAGTCGGGTATTTGTACTGAGACAAATACATATTCCATATCCATACCTTATGTGAAGCAAAAGTTTCATAGAACACTTACTGTGCGTAACATATGCTGATTTTTTCTACACTATTCTATTTCGATTTTGGGTTTTTGAGTGCTGGTAATGACCCACTATCCTGCCAATGGATCATTAATCTAAGTTTAAAAAATATAATGAACTCAGTAGGAAACATCTTCTAAGTGAAATATTCTATACATAATTATTAGTTGAATAATTCACTGACATGCTCTTTCTTCTATTATTCTATAAAACTGGGTGGTTCAAGTAAATGAGCTATAGTGAAATACTTTAGCTTAACTTATGGCTGTACTTTCAACTTGGTTTTGACAATTTATCAATACTTGTTTTTCAGTGGAGAAGCAGGAATAGAGAGAGAACAGGAAGCAAAGTTATTAAAATAGGTTACAGCCAACTGCAATGAACATTAATTATCTCAAAAAGTATGTATCTTCTGTACAATAAAAATTATTTACATGGGCCTTGTTGGTTTGCCTGAAAAGCTTTCAGGATACTTTACATGTAGAAAGTATCTGCATAGTTTGTATCATAGTTGATGAAGAGAGGGATAGGCAAGGGATTTTTATGGTTTTCATTATCTTTTTTAACTTGTTTTAATCAGATTAAACAATCTCCCAGAAAAATTAAAACTGCGGGAAAAAAAAAACTCTACAAAATTAGAAGCAAATAACTTCACTAATAGCTGATTCCAAAAAGTTTGAGGCCTACTAATTTTCTCCTAAACTTTTCTGGATATTTTCCTGGAAATTACAGTTCCAGACAACTAGAATTGTAACTTCCAGGAAAATATCAATTACAAAAAGGATAAAAAAAATTCTACTGCAGTAAAACCCAGAATGTCCTATGGAATTCTGTGTAATGAAATTTTACGTGTACCTTTCAGAAAATGTCACAGATTATCAGATGTCCATTTACTGCTAAAGACTAGTGGACAGGGGAGAAAAACTCTAAAAAGCCTTTGAATGTGATAAAACTGACAAAAAACATCAAGGCCTCAGGAAAGTATAAAATCCCCTACTAACTCAATTACCTTCCACGAAAGAGTAATAAGTCTTGGGAATCAAGGAAAATAACTGATGGGCGAGAAGAGGAATAAAACCTTTTCTAAGGCGCTTTTGATTTAGGTCTTTTGACATCTTAAACTGGAATGTTTGGTTCATGCTATTAGCTTATTAACAGAACAAATAAATTAAGCAAGCACCAATGGTTAAAACACACAATGAAAAGGTGGCTGATTCTTAGCAAAAGGGACTGTGCAGGGTTCTCAGGCTAGCTAGCATTGTCAATAATTTGGGTAGAAAATGTTCTTATTTTGTGTGAGGTAATGACTGTTCACTACTAGGTTACAGCACAACCTAGTAAGTGATTACAACTCAAAATGGCAAAATAAATGAGAAAATTAAACAAAGCTTAAAAAAATAAAAAATTTAATTAATAATTTAATAAGTATTAAACAAGGTTTAAATAATAAACAATAAATTAGATTATTAAAGAAGGTTGGAGGAGAGATACATAAGTATAAAAAAAATCTCTGCAGATAAAAGAAAAATGAGTTTAAGACCTAAGTTTCACTGTAGATCAAGGCAGCCAGTGCTAATTTTAAAAGCACTTAGGAGAATATAAACATTTAAGAAAATAATAAGACAAATAGAATATATAAGCGCCTATCTTTTACTTAGCACTGACCAGAAATATAATTTAATTGTTTTAAGTCCTAAAACTTTAAAATTTAAAATCATAAAAAAACTTTCAAAGGGTATTAAATCATTCTCATAATAAGACAAAGACAGTGCTCCTATATGGTAAATAATTGCATGTGGCATTTAGTAATAACATTGTTTTAAACCAACATATTCTAGAGATTTGGAGGGTGCCAGTAACCATGCTAAAATCCACATTCATTCAGCAAAGTTTCCACAACTGATGAAATAGGTGTGGAGGCACTGTTTTCCTCCATACTCTCCAGAAAGGTGTCTGTGAGGGTTTCTTTGTAAAGAAGCAGTTACAACAGTGTATCTTAACATGACAAATGTATTCCTGAAAATTTACTTCTAAATTAAATATTTTTTTAAAGTACCAAATATTTTAGTTAAAGAAACCCTTGGGGTATAACAAATATGCTACTATTTGGATATCTGTATTTTCACATATGCCTTTATTTTCGAAAAAGGCAATGAAGCGGTCTACCCAACTTCTTAAAGGCCTTTAAGAGACAGCTCTTTACCACTGCAAATAATCACAACCTAATTTCATTGCCTAAAGTCAGTCAAAATTAGATCACTTTGTAAAGTGATGATTTCAGCTGAACACATAGAGCAATGGGAATAGCCAGTATAGATACTCAGTAGTTCTAACTATTAATCATTCTATGCCCATGTGTATTTTAATTTTCAGAAACCAACTGTTGAAAGAAAACACTCATGTTAATCAATCTACATACTGATTATAAGCAAATACATTTAAATATGTCACTTTACATTTGTATTTCCAAAGAAAGTATCTAACTCAAAAGGATTTAGGTTATTTTACTACCTTTCAGGAAAACATGTATGAAGTATATAACAATGTGTATGTTATTTTTGAAAATGCTTCATTTTGAAAATACTTTACATATACTCCATCTTAACTGAGAATAAATTTAAACTATTATTTATATCCTTAATTTTCTGACCCATGATTGCAAAGTTATTTTTTATACTCCCCCCCAAAAAAAAACTAAAGAGAAACAAACTACTAAATACAGCAATTTTCTCTTTTACTTTCTATAATATGGTTATATTATTACTTTCATAATTTTTAAAAATTGAGGAAAAATACTTCTACAATTCAGTTTTTGTAACACAAATTAGTTTTTGGACAAGTGTAAGTATAATTTAAGTCTAATCTTTCTTGAAAGTCAAAACGATGTGTTTTTTTTGTTTGTTTTTTTGTTTGTTTTTGAGACGGAGTCTCACTCTGTTGCCCAGGCTGGAGTGCAGTAGCGTGATCTCAGCTCACTGCCACCTCCGCCTCGCAGGTTCAAGCGATTCTCCTGCCTCATCCTCCTGAACAGCTGGGACTACAGGCATGTGCCACCATGGCCGGCTAATTTTTGTATTTTTTGGTAGAGACGGGGGTTCGCTATGTTGGCCAGACTGGCCTCGAACTCCTGACCTCAAGTGATCCGCCCACCTCAACCTCTCAAAATGCTGGGATTACAGGTGTGAGCCACTGCACCTGGCCAAAATGATGTTCTAAATTGGGATAATTTAGCTTTTTTTTGGTGATTGGGATGCCTGATTTAATTTCCTCAGTTTTAAATGTATGGAGTTGGCAATGAGATAGTTAATATTATTTCCAAATTCTATAGATTATTCTGTTAAAGGTTCTATTTCTCCCCCACCAGTCACTTAAAAATCCAAACAATAACAATACGACCTGACTATAGGAGTACTTTATTATAAATTTACAGTTTTTACAGTAGAAAAAACAATATGAAGATGTGGGCTGTAGCACTGTTGTGTTACTAAGTTTCTATCTATGACACCTAGAATAAGTCATCTTTTAAGGTCTCAGATTTTTCCCACTGTGAAATGAGAGACAATTACTGTAACATTCTACCATTCAGGGTCTAAAATTCTGTAGTTCTACTTTACAGTAAAACTACTATAAAACTAATTGATCTGATTGCCAAAATATTTGAAGACACAGATAATTGTTTTAAAGTAACAAAAAAGTTTATGACTTGAATTGTGCTAAGAAAATATAATTCATGCAAATTCAGATCTACAATACAGATAAATAAGGAGAAAACAGTCCATTTCAAAGAGATTCTTCAATTTTAAAACAATTTACTAAGAAGTTTTACATAACGAAATATGGTTCAAAATTTCAACTTACATGTAACTTTTTAGAAACAGAAACAAAGATGATTCTCAAATATCTGGACTGAATAATTCTATGTCAAAATCAGGTAATACTTGTATCCTTAAAATAAAAACATTCATCATAAAGAAAACAGCTCTGCTTTTCCCTTAGCTAATTTAATATGCGACAGCTTTAAAATCATTTGGTTTATGATAAACTTGTACAGACCACTTATACCATCACTATCAACCACTGTATCAAATACTTAAGTAATGGAAAACAAAAACATACCAGTACTAAAGAGACGAATCATACACTCATGAAGCCAGGGATGACTAGAATCAATAGCAAATGCCCTCTTTACTGATTGTAGCATCAAAAGAAACTTTTCTATAAAAAGAGAAAGTAAGATATATTTTGATCATTGGATAAGAGGCCTCCTTTGGAGGGCCAAGATTTCACAAATAGAAAAAGTAAGAGTCAATCACATCAGAACCACAAACATGATTGAGGCAAACGATTTTCCTCAAATTTAGCAACATTAGTTAATATTTTTCACATAACATTCTTTAAGAAAAAGGGTTTTGTGAAATGTAGAAAATTTAGGTGGCATTTAGCAATATTTAATGACATATAAGCAAAGAAAATTTGTAGTGCCTTCATTTCCTAACCTCCTTAATTTTTTTTTTTTTTTGAGACGGAGTCTCGCTCTGTTGCCCAGGCTGGAGTGCAGTGGCGCAATCTCCACTCACTGCAAGCTCCGCCTCCCGGGTTCACACCATTCTCCTGCCTCAGCCTCCTGTGTGGCTGGGACTACTGGCGCCCGCCACCGCGCCCGGCTAATTTTTGTATTTTTAGTAGAGACGGGGTTTCACCGTGTTAGCCAGGATGGTCTCGATCTTCTGACCTCGTGATCCGCCCATCTCGGCCTCCCAAAGTGCTGGGATTACAGGCGTGAGCCACCGCGCCTGGCCCTTAATTTCAAAATAAAGCAACCTTTCCCACTACTTAGAAAATTTCATTGTGTATATTTGAAGGTGTTCTTTTGTGACAAGTGAAACAGCTTCCCTTCTGTTTGACTGTTCCTCTCCTGTCAATTCGTGCCTCCTCCTTTCTCCTCTAAAGGTAGAATAGTTACCAAGGTTGTATTTACAGTCATTCTCTGATCTTTCCGTATGCTATCCCCACTCCCATTCCCTGTATTTCCCAAGATTCAGTAGTATCTCCACCTGTTATATGGAAATTTGCACTTGAATACCAGTCCACTTCCAAGTTTTATCTATAACCACCTCTTTGATAAAACTTTCCTAATTTGGTACCATTTTCCCAATATCAAAGTTCAAAACCCCAGTCTCTTCTCCTAATGCCCTTTCCCTTGTCCCCAATACTAAAAAAGCCAAAAATATGGTCATGCCTTTGTCATTACCAATTCACACAACTGCAGTGGGTTCCCAATGCTGGGGTCCTTTAGAGCTTAGGACACAGCCAAGAAGCCAACTGAATGGGGCTTCAGATTGCCCTTCCCTACTTTAAGTAGAGCAGCTTTTGAATTTTATACTTTGGGGTTCCATTTAAGAATTTTTTTTAAAGGGGGAGTTGTATTAACTGTTAAAAGTTTGAAAATTATTGGACTATTTATTAAACTTATTTTCCACATTATAACATAGTAATTGTGGGAAGTAAAAAATACAGTAAATATTTTAATCACTCGAAATTCTATCAAGAGACAATTTGTTATCTTTTGATCTATTTCTTTCCAGCCACTTCTATATTAAGCACCTATGTAAATATATTAATAAAATTTCAATTTATAGGTAGTTCTGTATCCTATTTTGGAATAATATAGCAACTTTTCCCCAACATCATTTACTTCTGATAAACATGACCTTTTTTTTTTTTGAGACAGAGTCTCACTCTGTTGTCCAGGCTGGGGTGCAGTGGCCGGATCTCAGCTCACTGCAAGCTCTACCTCCCGGGTTTACGCCATTCTCCTGCCTCAGCCTCCCGAGTATGCTGGGACTACAGGTGCCCAACACCTTGTCCGGCTAGTTTTTTGTATTTTTTAGTAGAGACGAGGTTTCACCGTGTTAGCCAGGATGGTCTCGATCTCCTGACCTCGTGATCCGCCCATCTCGGCCTCCCAAAGCACTGGGATTACAGGCTTGAGCCACCGCACCTGGCCAACATGACTTTTTTTTTTTTTTTTTTTTTTTTTTGAGATGGAGTTTCGTTCTTGTTGCCAAGGCTGGAGTACAATGGCATGATCTAGGCTCACCACAACCTCTGCCTCCCAGGTTCAAGCGATTCTCCTGCCTCAGCCTCCTGAGTAGCTGGGATTACAGGCATGCACCACCACACCCGTCTATTTTTTGTATTTTTAGTAGAGACAGGGTTTCTCTGTGTTGGTCAGGCTGGTGTCAAACTCCTGACCTCAGGTGATCCACCTGCCTCAGTCTCCCAAAGTGCTGGGATTACAGGCATGAGCCACTGCGCCCAGCCAAACATGACTTTTTAAATGGATGCTCATATAGAGATGTACTATGTTATTCAATTTCCTTTAGTAGGTAAATTGTTTAGAGCAACACCTTCTCTTTGATCTTATTAAACAGTTTCCCTTTCCTTTAATATGCATCACCTTTGTGATGAACTCTTTTTTCAATTAACCACTTGGATAATATTAACTCAGTACTCTAAAATCTTATTATCTACTATATATATATTCTAAGCATTCTAAACCTGGAAACCAAGACCCTTCATTATCTTTTACCTGCTCCAGGCAATTCAGACAACCTCAACATTATTTACATGTTTTCTTAACAGATACTCTTGCCTTCTATGTATCTTTTCCTTTAGAAATATAATCCATCCCTCAAGATCCAGACCCAACATTTTATCTTCTATTTATAACAATAGCTAATAATAGCTAACATTTATTTAATGCTTACTATACACCAGGTACTAGGTCTAAGCTCTGTGTATTAACTAATTTTATCCACACAATTATCAGTTCTTTGAACCATATACACGGTAATTACATCTGACCTGAATCCTAGTTATGTATGTACATCTATCATTGATTCTAATATCCTGAAAGAAGTGATCGTATCACTACATCTCCCTACACATTCTGTTCATAGCAGGCATTTCTCTGAGAAAGCTGTGTTGGCATTTGCTAAATAATTGTACAGTGGTAAGGCTATCACAGTTGGGTGACTATACCTAAGAAATACAGTGATCAGTTTTATCAGGGCCACTGTACCCTAATTGCCTACCTTTCCTAAAGTAAATCTCAAAGGCAAAAAGATGAGTCTCTATCTTGTTCTTCACCAAGTTCTTCAACGGTGTTAAAAATTTAATAGCTTCTTCCAATGGAGTTTCAACCTAACAAAAATAAAAGATATTATACAAATGAAAGTAAGGTTCTTGGGGAATGTGATTTTATTCTACTAAAAATTCTTATTTTTAAAAAATAAAACCACTTACCAGTCACCCAGAAAAATACTGTCATATTTTAACCTCCCATAACCTAAACAAAGGGGATTTTGAATTCTAGAATTCTTAACTGATTTTTAACCCCAGATACTATATTATTGCTGGATAGAAACTACCCAAAAAGAAGGAAGTAGATAAAATAGAACCAGAGAAAGAAAGACAGAAGGAGAAACAGGTCAGATAGCCAAGGGGGAAAAAAGAAGAGATGTGAACTAGGATAGGAGAAGTACAAAGGAAACTATAGAGACCATGACAGAATGAGTGAATGTTCTTTATAATTCAAACAAAGTAAAGTATAATCAAGCTATTCAAAATCATACACTATCCATTCTGTCTTGCTTTGTTCTATAAATTCTACAGGAATTCATATTTATTCAAATGACATTAATATTGAGGTGGCTTTTAAAATATTAATATTTATAGAACTGTGTTCCTACCAATTTTTTATTAATTACATAAATGTCATAGTAATTATATACTTGTAATCATTACTAGGCAGGTATAATGCAATTGTGCTACTATTCTGAAACTCCTGGACTGAATATTGAGACAAGATTATTCCCTGTCTTATCTCAGGTAGGGCTGGAGACCACCACCATATTTATCAGAAGGGCACTGAACATCTGGATTCTATATCTGCCTTCTCTCATCACAGAGGCAGTAACAATTTACCCTAATGGAAAATGAATTTGCAATCTGGTCAACGTGCCTCTGTCAGTATGGTAATTGTGGTTTCACCAAAACAGCTTCTGGGCAAGAAAATTGTTTCACTGCATTAAAAACAAAAAAAAAGAAAAGCAATGAAGTGAATTCTATGGGATTCACCATGTCCTAGTGTGTAAAGCAGCTGACCTTACATGACAATAAAATAACCCATTAAAAGCCCAGCTCCAGTGTCAGAATGTTTTCTTTCGAAGGATACATGTTCTAAACCAGAACCAGAAATTAATATATGGCTCTGTCACTCTAATAACTATGGATTCAGGAACCAAGAGATAGAAAATAAAGGCCCTCATAGGTATGATTTCCCCACACATTTGCACATATTTTACTTCTTGCTCCCGTGACTCCATATTCTACTATATAGGAATTTCTGGTACAAAGGGAGAAATATTTGTATCAGATAAAGGCAGAGAACTGGAAACCAAACCTGCCACCTAGCTGTATCATGTTTTCATGCCTCTAGGGTACAGATTGAAATGAGGGTCAGCGTACTGACCAGGGTAATTTACTATCACAGAGATATGGTTGCTATTACAAAGGGAAACAAGGACTATAGGGCAGGTGAATCAATACAAGTATTTATATTTAGTTAAATCAAGTACTTGAACTTGGAGAGAGCAAACAGATAAATTAATTCTGTCTCCAACTTTAATAAACAAGAACATATTCCCCCAAAGGAGATCTGGGTTGGGTTTGATATTGCGATATGTAGTCTCAGTCTCTGTTTACCTCTCATAGATAAGACTTTGTCAGGGTAAATCTAAGTGTTTAAATATACGTAGATAACCACAAGAAATCTAACTACACTCTATATTTACTCATACATCGTGCAGAACAAGGTTTTATATATACATGGAAGCATGTAATCAGAAATGCAAGTCTAAAATCAGTATTTCAGGAAAAAAAAGTCAAAATATCCCTTGAAAATCCTTTAAGCTGAAGATAGGCAGATATAAAAATATAAATACTTTGTATTACGTGTATGAAAACCATGTTTTCAATACCAAATTAATCATCATAGCAAGATGTTCACACCAAGATAAGCACACAAGAACTGAAATGGACTGTGGCAGTCATGCCTCCCATCTCACAGTCAGCTGGGGTCCAGCGTTCACTGAGGGAAATACTGGATAGAATTAACCATCATTATGCATACTATTCTTTGTCTCCCTTAAAGAAAAAATTACATCCAGTCACGAAGAGTTGAATTCACTTAGGTTAAATGCATGTAGGATAAGACTGCACCGCACTTAATGGGCAATTTAAGACACTTCCAAGGGCAATTTTAATCATATGCAATTTTTAAACTTATAAACTGACTTGAAATCTAATCCTCATATTAAGATATGTTGTAAAGGAGTATATCTCTCTAGCATAGCAACTCCCAGCACAGCAACAAAAAGTTTAAAATGATTCAACTTTTTAAAGAAAGAATACTGTACTAAGGAATCATAGCCTTTGGAAGGAAAAGTGTATATACAACAGGGGAAAAAAATGCTAGGCTGGGTACGGTGGCTCACACCTGCAATCCCAGCACTTTGGGAGGCTGAGGTGGGCATATCACTTCAAGTCAGGAGTTCGAGACCAGCCTGGCCAACATGGTGAAACTCCGTCTCTACTAAAAAATACAAAACAATTAGTGGGCGTGGTGGCATGTGCCTGTAATCCCAGCTACTGGAGAAGCTGAGGCAGGAGAATCACTTGAACCTGGGAGGCGGAGTCTTGCAGTGAGCTGAGATCACGCTACTGCACTCTGGCCTGGGCGACAGAGTGAGATTCCATCTCAAAAAAAAAAAAAAAAAAGCTGAGTGAAGGCAAGGAGGAACATAGGATGACTGCTACAAAAGGGAATTCATAAATACCAACTAATGCCTCATGGTAAGTTGGAGAAACAAGTGATACAGCTTCTGCCAAGACCTGAGATTTATACTCAGTTGACTGAATGCTGACCTTACTAATTCCCATTTTCCTTTTCTCCTTCTTTACTGGAACTACTGCTAATTTAATAATGCTTTGATTTTATTTTATATAGTCATGTGCTACATAACGATGTTTTGGTCAACAATGAACTGCATAAGTGGTCCCATAAGATTATAATGCCCTATTTTTAGGGCATTTTAGTAACACACCTACTTACCATGTATCACAATTGCCTACAGTATTCAGTACAGTAACATACTATACAGGTTTGTAGCCTAGAAGCAATCAGCTATACCATATAGCCTAAGTGTGTAGTAGACTTTACCATCGAGGTTTGTGTACATACACTCTATGATGTTCGCACAACAACAAAATGACCCAAGGCGGGTGTGGTAGCTCACACCTGTAATCCCAGCACTGTGGGAGGCTGAGGTGGGTGGATCCCTTGAGCCCAAGAGTTTGAGACCAGCCTGGGCAACATGGTAGAATCCCATCTCCATAAAAATAAAAATAAATTAGCCAAGCATGGTGGTGAGCACCTGTAGTGCCAGCTACTCTGGAGGCTGACGTGAGAGGATCAGTTGAGGCCAGGAGGAAGAGGCCTAGGTGACAAAGCGAGACCCTGTCTCAAAAAAAACAAAAGAAAGCAACAAAATCACCCAAGCATGCATTTCTCAGAATGTATCCCTGTTAAATGATGCATGACTGAATATTATCCTGAACTGGTGACACTAAATTTGCTATTTACCACACAGAAGAAAGATGAAATACAGGATCACCAAAAAAAGGAGGGGTTGAGGGGCGGGGGAGACACTATATACCGTAGAGCTAGACTTGGCAGACAGCTCTTAAAATAACCTACAAAGCCACTCCTAGTTATGATGGCTTGGTAAAATTTGACACTGTTACCACATTGAAGATCTTGGTAAGTATAGATGCTTTTAGACAGGGGCATCTTGGAGGAAGTTAGCTCAAGAAGAAAAGGGTCTTATGTACCTAACAGGTAAGAATAATATGTACTGAGGAGCAGTTCATGAAAAAGGGTGCCTTGCACTAAGCTGCTTCCAAACAAAGCAGTCAGAAGCACTGTTTGTAGCCATTACTTTGTTCTCAGACTCTACAATCATGGCTACAAATAATTAGACCACAGGTTGTTATCTGGCTTGAAGGCAATTATGACACCCTGGACACAAGGAAAACCTAACAGTCTTTAAGGAAATCTAGTACAAGAATTCCGCTCTGTAGGTGTACTCTTTATTAAACAGTAACTAAATAATCAAAAGAGATCCTCTCCTTAAGAAATACATGAAAACATGAAGAGGTATAATGAAAAATGTCATTAAGGAAAGTCATGGGATAAAGGGAAAAGCAAGTAGACAAAGTGATGACAGCAGCAGGCAGGCAGTGAAGGTGGCAAAAGTAGTAGTAATAAAGTGGGGGCATAAAGATGGAAGGTCTAATTAAGTCCTATGCCCTGAATGACTGAAATTCTCCGAGGTCTGAAGGTCCATTTTCTTTGCTTTCTTGTTTCCCTGTGTAGTCTTCCAATAAATTCCCAAGAATAAAAAGGTATTGTGTTTGTTCCTAGCAGGTATACAATTATTTGTAAAAAGATGTCAATAAATCCTTGTAGAATCCAACTAGATTTTTCTACATTTCGTGTGTGTGTGTGTGTGTGTGTGTGTGTGTGATATTTTTCTTTTTATTTTTTTAAGAGACAGTCTTGCTGTGTCTCCCAGGCTGGAGTGCAATGGCTATTCACAGGCATGATCATAGCTCACAGCGTTACTGCAGCCTCAAACTCCTAGATTCAAGTGATCCTCCCACCTCAGCCTCCAACACAGTTGGAACTATAGGCACATGGCTATATTTCATATAGCAATATTACTATGTCTATGTGATATTACTGTCCACCTGCTCTGGTGAACAGAATTCTAAACATATTCTCCAACTCTATTTGTCTGGCATTATAATTTTCCTTGGTGGCATTATAATTTATAATTTGTTTGGCATTATAATTTTCCTTAATTAAAGTCTGGGGCGATTGCTTACTATATTGCTTTAACATAACAAATTACGCATTTTCACACAAAGCAGGAAGATGTCTAGGGTCAGAAGAAAGGACAAAGGAATGCTATTAATCAAAATGGTTCATGTGACAATGAATACCTTGGTTTCAGCTTAATGGTTAAAACCAGCAGGTCAGATTTTGGTCTGGGGAAAATATTTATGGCCTTAGGCTAGAAAAGAAATAATGTAAACTGACAACATAGGTAGTGGGAGATACACGTATAGTCCTCAGTTTTTAACAAACTCAATTTAGCCTAGACATAAAAACTTGCATGTTACCACTGTAACAGACACTAGATGCTTTACATATATATTTTTTCTCCAGTCCTAAATAAGGATTTTCTTAGTTCCATTTTATAGATGAAAAAGCCATCAGAGAGGTTAGACAAAGTGTCCAAGGGCACACAGTGAAACTGTAAGAGCTAACATCTGGACCCAGATCAGAATGACTCAAAAGCCAAAATTTTTTCTACCATACTATACTACATGACTTTGGAACAGGATCATTATCTCAAGTTTTAAACATGAAACATGATCAGAAACAAAATATTAAAGAACGAATACTAAAAAATAAAATAATTTTTGGCTCTAAAATCTATAATCACATTGGTCAAATAAAACAGTATGAAAATGACAACAGCTGGTCATAAAATGTCACTCAATTGTGCTAAACACTATTAAGTACCTTGGCCAGTTTCTCTGGAATAAGCTCTTCTTTTGGACCTCCAATTTCCTCATCATCATCATCCTTCTTCTTTTTCTGATTTCTCTGTTGCTTTTCTTTTTCTGCATTTTTTTTCTCTTCTTCTATCTGGGCTTTCTTTTGAGCTCTTCTTTGTTTATTACGTAACTTCTTTAGCTCTTTGTCAGACATGTTTGCTGCAGGCAATAAGTTAATAAAATTAACAAGCATGTTAATCAGATTAGTAATTTTAAGTATTATTTGATATTACCAAACTCCCATTAAAAAATATTGCATGAGGCTGGGCATGGCGTCTCATGCCTGTAATCCCAGCACTTTGGGAGGCCAGGGTGGGCAGATGACCTGAGGTCAAGAGTTCAAGACCAGCCTGGTCAACATGGTGAAACCCCGTCTCTACTACAAATACAAAAATTAGCGGGGTGTGGTGCGCGCCTGTAATCCCTGCTACTCAGGGGGCTGAAGTAGCATAATTGCTTGAACCCAGGAGGCAGAGGCTGCAGTGAACCAAGATCACACCACTGCATTCCAGCCTGGGAAACAAGAGCGAAACTCTGTCTCAAAAAACAAATTTAAAAAAATATTGCACGGTATGGACGTAAATGTCCCTATATGTACATAGACCTTTTATTTATTTATTTTTGAGACAGAGTCTCACTCTGTCACCCAGGCTGGAGTACAGTAGCGTAATATCGGCTTACTGCAACCTCTGCCTCCCAGGTTCAAGCAATTCTCCTGCCTGAGCCTCCCGAGTAAATGGGATTAACAGGCACGCGCGACCACGCCCAGCTAATTTTTGTATTTTGTATTTAATATTTTGTATTTTTAGCAAAATACACCATGTTGGTCAGGCTGGTCTCAAACTCCTGACCCCCTGATCCGCCTGCCTCGCCCTCCCAAAGTGCTGGGATTACAGGCGCGAGCCACCACGCCCAGCAGTACGTACCCTTTTAATGGTTCAACATCAGATAGGAAACAATGGAACCACTTCAGAAAACTTTCTTGAAACCACATGGGGTATGCATGTAAACCACATGGGATATGCATGTAAACAAATGATCACAGCAAAACATACAAGTTAAACAGCAATATCAAAGTATTTGCAATCTATGAATATAACAAGCTGTTGCATATCTCTATGACTTCAGAGGACTATGCTCTCTTATTATGCCTTCTCTAACCTGGCCAAACAATTATTCATTCTCTCTGTGCTGCCACTACGGCTAATATATTTTGCTTGTCACAATAGTTTATTTATACAGTTGTCTCTCTTTTAAGCTATGAGCTCTCTGGTAAAGGAGCTCCTGTGTCATTTGTAACCTTTTTATTTTCATGGCCTAGCAGCATGCTGAAACATACAAACAACACTCAAAATATTTGTTAACAGAATAAATGAATAACTCTACAGTAAATTAAAAATTTAATATTGAAAATTAACAATATCCCTAGAAGTATAAACTATCGAATGTCTCAAAAGACTGGAAATCACTGACAAATATGCTACAATATAGTGAAAAATTTATATTATTTTGATTTCAAGGAACAAATTTGAAAGCTACAGGCTCATCTAGTATTTATTTGGATAATATCTGTTAATATTGATAAATGAAAAAAGTCATTCCAAAATACACTACCACTGTGGTGATTTCAAAATATGCCCTCGAGTTCTTCCTTTAAAAAGGCAGACCCTATTTCCCCTTCCCTTAAACATGGGCTACATTTAGTGACTCATGTGTAAGGAATAACATGTACTAGACACCAAGGTATGTAACATTAATATTAGGACATAAATGGTCTATAGGTTCCTCCTTGCTTTCTCTTGGATCATTCAGAGGATGCCAGCTTATGAGGAAACTCAATCAATCTTATGGAAAGACCAATGTGTGGCCAAGAACTGATGCCTCTGGCCATGCGAGTAAGCCATCATGGAAGGAGATCCTCCAAGCCAAGTCGATCCTTCAGATGCTCCAGCTGGCAACTTTCTTTTTTAAAATATAAATAGAGACAAGGTCTCACTATGTTGACAAAGCTGGTCTCGAACTCCTAGACTCAAGCAACCCACCCACCTCAGCTTCCCAAAGCATTAGGACTACAGGCATGAACCACCGTGCCCAGCCAACATCTTGACTTCAACAGCCTGAGAGACCCAGAGTCTTCCGAAACATACAGCTAAGTGACTTCTGGATTCCTAACACACAGTAACAGTCAGATAATAAATGATTGCTATTTAAAGCTGCTATGTTTTTGAGTAATTTGTTTTGCAGCAATAGATAAACAATATAAATTTTGGTACCTGGACATGAGATACTGCTGTAACAAAAACCTAAAATGTGGGAGTAACTTTGGAGTGAGGGAGTTGCAAAAGATGGACACTTTGAGTAGGGCTTTAGTGGAAGTTGGAAGAGCCTTGGACTATTCATAGAAGTCTAGACTTGGGGGAGGCTGCAGGTGAGTCCTTAAAATGAAGTGAAGGATATGTTATAGCCACAGAGTAGCAGAAAGTTTAGCAAGTGTTATAAAATGTGTCAAATGAACTCAGTGAGCTAACTAACTGAAGGGATTTTTAGGCAAAGTGCCCAGGAAAAATGCAAGAGGAAAAAGAAACTAAAGAAAAGAGACAGGGGCTTGATGGTTTTGAAAACTCTCAGTCTCTCCTGAAATGGCTTGCTGGGCAAAGATCAAACCCAGGGAATTGTCAGGAAAATACGTCAAGAGGGAAGGCAAAGGGCTTGGCATTACAATCTTTTGTTACTCAGAATATGGTGGTGCCTCACTAGTTAGTCTGAAGAAAGGCTCTCTAAAAATTTTAAGAGTATGACTCACAGATTCTCTCAAACAATAAAACTTCTAAGAAACTTAAGGGTGTTCTCCCCTCCATAGAAGCTCAAGGTACACGTGGATTCCAGTAAGACTCACGAAAGATTCATGATGTTTATTCTATGGGCAGAAATAGCAAATCTGGATGGAAAAGAACGACAGCACAAAGTGAAAAGAGGTCTTTAGACTCACAACATTTTACTGGCTGGAAGAATACTGAAAAACTACTCAGTTGCAAACAAATGTTAACTTCAGAAAGAAAAAAAGGATAATTCAGAAAGTGGAAGCAGGAACTCAGAGGGCAGGGCCAAGAGCCATGGAAAATTATTCCAGTCTTGGGTCCTCATCAAAGAACTATTAAGCCATGCCCCACTGGACTTGAGGATGGACGCAGTAACTCCTGTGTGCCTCCTAATAATGTCTACAGTGGTTGTCCTATGCCTGTCTCATTTTATATTGGGTGTGTAGTTGATAAATAACTTGTAATTTTAGTTCACAGGATTTCATATTAAAAGAGCTATAATTGAAAAGCCACACTTAAGGTTAAAAATAAAAAATAAAACACTTATACTCAAGGAGCTGCTTCAGTACCTGTACCTGATTTACATGACAAGATTCTGAACTTTAAGATAATGTTACAATGGGATAGACTTCTGAAAGCCTTGAAAAGGCTAACTATATTTTGCATATAAGAATAATGTAAGCTGGGCGTGGTGGCTCATGCCTGTAATCCCAGCACTTTGGGAGGCCAAGGCAGGAGGATCACTTGAGCTCAGGAGTTTGAGAACAGCCTGGGCAACATAGCAAGACCCCACCTCTACAAAGAATTTTTAAATTAGTTGGGTGTGGTGGCATGTGCCTGTAGTCCTACCTACGTGGAGGCTGAGGTTGGGGGACTGGCTGAACCCAGGAGTTTGAGGCTGAATGAGCTATGACTGAGTCTCTGCACTCTAGCCTGGAAGACAGAGTGAGACCCTGTCTTAAAATTAAAAACAAACAAACAAACAAAAAACCCAAAACAATAATGTAACCAAAATGCAGACGACGACAGTTAAAAATTATGTCTACAAATTCTTCCATTCTACTCCCCTCAAATAGGTTGTGCTTGGTGACTCTCTTCTGACCAATTAGAATATGAAGGAAGTAATGGCGTGATATCAGGTGAACAGAACATTAAAAAGGTGTTGTAGCTTCTGCCTTTCTCTGTCATCATTAGCTGCCATGTCTTCAGAAACTAGAAACTCTACAGAGAGACTAAGAACTAAGGTCTCATGCCAACAGCCAGGTTGAGTAAGTCATCTAGGAAATGGATCCTTTCAGTCCTAGCCAAGCCTTCCAGTGATGGTAGGTCCATCCAAAATCTCAACGACAACTTCATGAGACCCTGAGTCAGTGACTTAGACACTTCTGAATTCCTGACCCAAAAAAAGGGTTATTTTAAGCTGCTAAATTTAGGGATTAATTTATGATGCAGCAATAGATAACATATAGCCAACGAAAACAAATGCATTATTTATCTTTTTCCTAGCGAAGAATCCCATAATACTAAAAACAAAAAGCAAAAAACAAAAAAATTCTAATAGAGACCAAAAAATTACATTCTGGAAACACAAAACTATAAATGGATGGCAACATAAGCACTGATCTTTTTAACGACTGGTAAAATAATTGCTACCAATTATAGCCTTGCTACATGATAGATACAATGCATACCTTGAATTTTTTCTTTCTTTCTTTTTTTCTTTGAGACAGGATCTCACTCTGTCACCCAGGCTGGAGTATAGTGGCGAACATAGTTCACTGCAGCTCTGACTTCCAGGGCTCAAATGATCCTTCCACTCCTGCCTCCTAAGCAGCTAGAATTGCAGGTGCTCACCACCATGCCTGTTTTGTTTGGTTGGTTGGTTGGTTGGCTGGCTGGGGTTTTTTTTGTATTTGTAGAGACAGAGTTTCACCATGTTGCCCAGGCTGGTCTCGGACACCTAGACTCAAATGATCCACCTGCCTTGGCCTCCAAAAGTGCTGGGATTACAGGTGTGTGCCACTGCACCCAGCCCATACCCCATACATTGTATTTCATTTGATGTCCTCAACAACCTCATGAATTAGAGTATAATATTATTTTACATATGAGAAAACTGAGGTTTCAGAGGAAAATAACTCAGTCATGGTAAAAGGCAGAGCAAGGATGTAAATCTACTTCACTTGGACTCCAAAGTCTAGGCTTCTTCTATGCTATACTAAACTCCAGATGATTAAAAAGCCAAATGTAGGTCGGCATGGTGGCTCATATCTGTAATCCCAGCACTTTGGGAGGCCAAGGTGGGCGAATCACCAGGAGTTCGAGACCAGCCCGACCAACATGGATAAACCCCGTCTCTATTAAAAATACAAAAATTAGCCGGGAGTGGTGGCGCATGACTGTAATCTCAGCTACTCAGGAGGCTGAGGCAGGAGAATTGCTTGAAACCAGGAAGCGGAGGTTGCAGTGAGCCAAGATTGTACTGCACTCCAGCCTGGGTGAAAAGAGTGAAACTCCATCTCAAAAATAAATATTAAACTTTATCATGAAGCATTAGAAGTACTACCTCTATAGAAAAAAAGGCAGCAAGTACACTTTTGTTCCTACTAATCACCACTGTTTTAGCAACTCTAACCAGACCAGAAGACATAAGGGGGAAAGGTATAAATACTGAAAGAAATAAAACTACTGCCATTTACAGATTAACATAATGGCCTACATAGAAAATTTTCAAAAATCAACTGAAAAATGAATCAACCTAGTATCAGAAACCTTCTGGAAGATAAGCTCATTCGACCATGTATGCATAAGCAAAAATCTGCATGTAAAAACACGAAAATTCTAAAGACAGTGTTAGATTGAGAAAAATGGATCATAACAACAGAAACCTATCTGTACTGATGTCAATACCATGTAGTTTTAATCGTATCATGTTAGACCAAGAAACCATGCCTATGACCTACTAAATTATTTTTCCAGAATTTATTATGATAAAGGTAGCATTTGAAATCAGTGGGGAATAGAAAAACCTATTCAATAAATATTACTGAGAAGTTAGCAGTCTATTTTGGGGAAGAAGGGAGGTGGAAAGCCACCCTCCACCTTACAAAGTATATAAAAATTAACTCCAAATGTTTAAAGAGCCAAATCTAAAAATTGCAAAGCAGACGTATTAGAAGAAAAACACAGAAGATATTCATAAATATATTTTAAATTTTTAAGTAGAAAAAGCCTTTCTAAGCAAGACCTAGAAGCCACAAAAAAGACTAAGTATTAAAAATTAAAAATTGTATATAATGAAAGATACTATTCTTAAAGGATAAAACCTAAGTGAAAAAAAGAAAATATATAATCTACTCCATTAAAAATCTAGAAATTGGCCAAACATAGTGGCTTATGCCTATAATCCCAATAATTTGGGAAGCCAAGGCAGGAGAATCACTTGAGCCAAGGGGTTCAAGACAAGCCTCGGCAACATGGCAAGACCATGTCTCTACAAAAATAAATTAGCTGGGTGCAGTGGCATGCACCTGTAGTCCCAGCTACTCAGAAGGCTGAGGTGGGAGGATTGCCTGAGCCCAGGAGCTCAAGGCTTCAGTGAGCTATGATCACATTAGTGGACTCCAGACTGGGAAATAGTATGAGATCCTGTCTCAAACAAAACAAAACAAACAAACAAAATATATAAATTGTAAACTAGATATTTTGCCCAACATACAAAAATGTAAAGGAACAGTAATTTTCAGAGCTGGCAATAATGTAAAATAAAAGAAAATCTCAATATCCATGTTGGTGGTAATAAAAACTGATGAACCCTTTATCTCAAATTCTCATACTTTTCAATCCACCAATTTCCGCTTTTAATAATCCATGCTAAATAAATATGCACATAATTATGTACAAGGACATTTACTATAGTACTATAATGGTGAAAAAATTCACATAGATTCCTAAATAGTCATTAAAATGTTAACAGTGAAAATAATAATTATGATATGCAGACATGGAGCAATACTATTAAATGGGGTAAAAAGTCCAAATTGCAGAACACTGAGTATGATATAAACCCAATTGTGGACTAAAGAAAAATAAACAAGAAACCCTGCAAAGAACCATCCTGAAATGCATGTGTATATGTACACACAGAACTCTGGAAACTGTAGCTGTGCATAAAGGGAACTGGTCCTTTCACAGGGATAATTGCTGGAATGAATAATGGGTGGGAGAAAAGTGAAAGGGGATCTTCATATTTGCTAAGTATATTTCTGTATTAATAGTCTCAGCTTTGAAAAGTTAATTGTGTATTATTTGTATAATTTGAAGAGAAGGAAGGAGGCAGAAGAATAAAAAGAAAGAAAAACAAAAGAAGCCAGAGGGTCATAGCTCTCAACTTCAACTGTAAATTGTCCAGCAGATTCTTCTTACTGGTGTTTTCTTTTAAGTTGAAGCAACACCAACAGGTAGAAAGAGATTCAAGTGATATCTGTACAAAGGCCTCAGTATGTGACCTTAGAAATTTCTGAACTGTCCGTAGGCAACAAGAAGTAAAAATTAATGACAAATTAGCAAAATAATTCAAAAGCTCTTTAGCAGAAGGAAGGATACAGAAATTAGCCAATCATATCCTCAAAAAATAAGCTCAGAAGAAAAAAAAAACCTAGCACAGTTTTTATACAACATTTTTGCCATGAGTAAGTCACAAAATTTATATTTTTCTACATATGAGATCACTCATTCTCAGGTTCTTCCCCAAATAACTGTCTAAGGAAGACTTCTCCCTAGTCATTCTGATGCCCTGCTATAAAAATAGTACATTAAAAATGGGTCAAATGATAAGTCACTGTGCAATTTTCCTAGCTTTATCCCAAGCTGGTTTTTAATGTTCAAGCAACATTCATTTTTAGTAGGTTAATTATAAATTACTATTAAAAAAAGAATAGGCCGGGAACAGTGGCTCATGCCTGTAATCCCAGCACTTAAGAGGCCAATCCCAGCACTCTGTGAGGCCGAGGTGGGCGGATCACTTGAGGTCAGGGGTTCGAGACTAGCCTGGACAACATGGTGAAACCCTGTCTCCACTAAAAACAAACTTAGCCAGGCGTGGTGGTGGGCACCTGTAATCCCAGCTACTCGGGAGGCTGAGGCAGGAGAATCGCTTGAACGTGGGAGGTTGCAGTGAGCTGAGATCATGCACTGCACTCCAGCATGGGAAACAGAGCGAGACTCCATTTCAAAAAAATAACTAGTAATACTAATAGCCAACACTAATGTAGAATTATAATACTAATTATACAATTAGCAATCTAGTACCTGTAAAATAGTTAGCAATTTATAATTTTGGGTAAACCAGATATTAAATGTAAAACTCATGATATGCAAACTTCTTAAATGCTAATGAATAACTGCAAATTAAATTCTTGTTTAACTTTGGAAGCATAAAAGTAAACATTTTTCTTTTGTTGTTTAGAGAACCCTGTATATCTTCCCACGTGGTGCTCAAGAAAAATATATATTACTGAAAAACATAAATACACATAGACACACCAGAGCACAAGAAGAACTCTGAATATTATACCTGTATCAGCTTCGTGTTCTTTATTCTCATCTGTAAGGGGGTTGTCATGAAGCTTCAAATAGATTTCTATAGCAATTCTTGCTGCCTTGAAGTAAAATGGATGCTGTCGAAGTACATCTTCTAGTTTTAATAAGTCCACATATGATCTAAGGGTAATCTTCCTCATACAGTATGTATGAAAGTCAAACTGGTCATCAGTGATTTCTATAAAATGCTAACAAAATTATCTTTTTGTTATTATACCGAAGTACAGCAGTGGCTAAGAAAACTATAAAATCGAAGGCTTGGAACACTTGTTACTTTGGCATGAAAAAAACTAGTAAAATTAAAAAAAAAAAAAAATTACAATTATTCAACAGGAATATTTTGCATTTCAAATAAGCAAATACAGTTAGCTATTGTCTAGCACAGGATATGGCATACTGAAGGCATTGAATCATTTGTTGAAAAAGGAAGCTTTAAAACTATATTTATTCATTATCCCTTCCTTACTTATACTTAAAGCTGTTGTGACAACATCAAACATAATTTATTAACATACATAGTAGTGCAAGAAAGTAGATTCACATGTTAAACATTGAGTTTTTATATTTAGAATAATTTGCAAAGGATTACAATATGTATTTGGTAATTTTTTTTGAGGATACAAATCTGAATCCTATGCAATGTGATGCTGGTATGTGGGAAAAAATCAATTAGCAAGTAAGTCAAGCAATCAGGAACCTGATGCATTTCAACTAAGCTTTGGTATTCTATACTTGACAATATTACAAATGTGAAATTAGTTATATAAACTATGTTTATCTTTGTAAAACACAAAAAAGAAAAACCAACCACTAGTCATGGAAATGAGTCAGAAGTGAAGAGGATTAAGGAAACAATTTTATCAAAAAGCATGAAATTACATATGCTATAGAAGAAATACTGTGAAAAGTCTTCAACTTTTATATCTTACCAAGGGTATATGGCATCATCAATAAACTCTACAATGAACAGGATCCTAGGAGTAATTTAATCAGCTGTGTATGTACTACTAAAGCAGCAGCAGCAATTTGAAAGGTTCAAAAATCAATAAAAACATAGCCAAGATACAAAATTTCTATCAAGTTTTTTAAAAAAGCTTTTTTTTTTAAAAAAAAAAAAAAAAAAAGAATTCTTACAGAAAGATAATAGAGACCCTGGCTGAAAATGTAGTCTATATTTCCATTATGAAAACTGAAAAAAGTGAATACTGATTTTAAAAAGCACCTACTATGAATTATAAAGAGGTAGAAGAGAAAAAAACTATGAAATTTGTCCAAAACCATCAACAGAATAAAACGAGAAAACGTTTATGTAGAAGGTACTTACTCTCTCAATCTCATGACATTTCTTAAGTGCTTCACCAAATTTATTCATTGCTTTATAAGCCTGGGCACATTCTGTTTGGAACCACATGCACTGCATTTCATTCAAATTCTCTACCGCTGATGTTCCTTCCTATACAAAAATTAAGTATTTTCAAGATCATTTTTTATCAAAGACATTCTACCACAGAATTTTAAAAAACAAAGAAAGATGTTCCGCTGATTTGGACTCTCAAAAAAAATTTTAAAAACATTCTTAAAGAATAGTTAACATGGGAAAGCAACTGAAATTCTCTAACCACTAAAAATAATTTGTAGTTTCACGAGTGATTAAACAAAAGGTCTACATAGGCCGGGCGCGGTGGCTCAAGCCTGTAATCCCAGCACTTTGGGAGGCCGAGACGGGCGGATCACGAGGTCAGGAGATCAAGACCATCCTGGCTAACACGGTGAAACCCCATCTCTACTAAAAAATACAAAAAAAAAAAAAAAAACTAGCCGGGCGAGGTGGCGGGCGCCTGTAGTCCCACCTACTCGGGAGGCTGAGGCAGGAGAATGGCGTAAACCCGGGAGGCGGAGCTTGCAGTGAGCTGAGATCCGGCCACTGCACTCCAGCCTGGGCGACAGAGCCAGACTCCCTCTCAAAAAAAAAAAAAAAAAAAAAAAAAAAAAAGGTCTACATAACTGAGGGTAGCGATTAGTACAAGAAAAAGACCACCACCACATAGCAGGTATTCAATAAATATTAGTTCCCTTGACCCCTAAAAAATTCATCTGAACATACATCAATATAAACCAGTTTAAAAGTCCACTGTACAACCCTCTAAAAGGAAAATCCTCTGTACCAATGTCAACTCCAGTGTCTTCTGATATAGCGATTTAATTAAAATCCTGGCTATTTTGGTGTCGAAAATATTAAAGATAAACTTTGAAAAATAAGCATGGTACACAAGTATGAACTGGCTCGTGTCTTGTTTATTCATAATTAAGAACACTAGTTGTACAAACCCTTGTAAACTTTGAGCACATTTCTTCAGCTTCTTTAATTAGGTTGGCTTTTAGCATGTATTTTGCACATTTGGAGTTGATAAATCTGTCTGCTGTGTCTAAGGCCTGGGCCTCATCCATCCACCTTGCAGCTTCTTTAATATTTCCAGCGTGCTTACAAGGTACAAAAGCAAAATAAGCCGGTTAGTATGCTAAGTTTACTGTGCAGGTAATTCATTATCTGTTGATAAATAATTTAAAAACAAATGAAAGTAAAGGCATTCTTGTGACTCTCAGATGTTAATCAATATAAAATAATGCATTCTTCCATAATATAACTTCTGATTCCTTCTTCCAGCCTTCTAGAATTTAAGCTGACAGTTAAGACTTATTTTAATAGTTTTGTCTACTGTTAATATCGCCATTGCCTAAAACTGCCTGGCACACAGTAAAAATACTCAAAAATAATTGTTAAAGAATAAATAAGGCTGGGGGCCGTAGCTTGCTCCTATAATCCCAGCACTTTGGGAGGTCGAGGCGGGTGGATCACCTGAGATCAGGAATTCGAGTCCAGCCTGGCCAACATGGTGAAAACCCATCTCTACTAAAAATACAAAAGTAAACCAAGGGTGGTGACGCATGCCTGTAATCCCAGCTACTTGGAAGGCTGAGGCAGGAGAATCACTTGAACCCAGGAGGTGCAGGTTGCAGTGAGCCGAGATTGTGCCACTGCACTCTAGCCTGGGCGACAGTGAGACTCCATCTCAATAAAAAAGAATAAATAATAATAGAAACCTTTTTTTTTTTTTGAGATGGGAGTCTCACTCTGTCACCCAGACCGGAGTGCAGTGGCGCAATCTTGGCTCACTGCAACCTCCGCCTCCGGATTCAAGCAATTCTCCTGCCTCAACCTACCAAGTAGCTGGGATTACAGGCATGCGCCACCACGCCCGGCTAATTTTTGTATTTTTAGTAGAGACGCGGTTTCACCATATTTGGCCAAGCTAGTCTTGAACTCCCGACCTTGTGATCCACCCACTTTGGCCTCCAAAAGTGCTGGGATTACAGACATGAGCCATAGCTCCCAGCCAATAATATAAATCTTTAAATCAAAACATAATTAAATGTGAAAGTCATAAAAGGCATGGCCAAATCTCTACGCCAAAGGGACCATGGAAACATTACTGATTAGGACCATTAGTAGACATTCCCCAATGTTTCTCATTCTAAGTTACCTAACTAGTCCATCTGGCAAAGCCTCAAAACTAACGAGCCATACTCTAATTTTAAAAAGTGCTTCTTGGCACATGTATACCTATGTAACAAACCTGCACGTTGTGCACATGTACCCTAGAACTTAAAGTACAATTTTTAAAAAATCTAAAAATAAAAAAATTAATAATAATAAATGAATAAATAAATAAAAAATAAAAAGTGCTTGTTTAGCCAGATGCGGGGGCTCATGCCTATAATCTCAGCACTTTGGGAGGCCAAAACAGGTGAATCACTTTAGGCCGGGAGTTCAACACCAGCCTAGCCAACATGGCGAAACTCCGTCTCTACAAATAACACAAAAATTAGCTGGGCATGGTGGTGCATGCCTATAATCCCAGCTACCACTCCGGAGGCTGAGGCATGAGAATCACTTCACCTGGGAGGCAGACATTGCAGGGAGCTGAGATTGCGCTACTGCACTCTAGCCTGGGTGATACAGCAAGACTCTCTCTCTCAAAAAAAAAAAAAAAAAACTTCTTATGTATTACTTAATTTCATTATTTTCTTGCTAAATAAATTACTGGTTTATTGTCAGTCCCTCAAGAGCTTTCATTACTAAATTTTATTTTCAGTAAGACAGAGAAAAGCCAACATTACTTTAAGATGGTGCTAAAATATATGACTAAAAATTCTCAAGCAAGGCCCAGGAGTTGAGAAGTCAAAAGAGATAACTTGTAGAATTCACAATAGAATCTTCACAGTTTCACCTCATTAACATTGCCAGATACTGATATGTTACCATACTCAAATGTTAATAGAAATATACATTTCACAGCAAACAAAATTTCTTTTGGATTACCTATATACTCTTACTCTCCAAACCCAAGAGAATTACCAGATACATGTGAATACATATACATTAATGTATGTACGTAAGTATGCGTGTGTATACGGATATAGATAAATGACCAAATTAGCATGACCATGACAAGTCTCAAAGTAATTGGACTGAGAAATGTACTAAACTTGTTATTTTGTGTTTTTTGAGTTATCAAATGTCACTTTTCCTACATTTAGAATGTATAAAATAGAGAGAAAAAATTCATGACAAGTCCCATTACCTCATAAGAAAACAGAACAAAAGATTTTTACCTTATAGATTTTAGCTTTCACGAGAAACAGTTCTATTAATGTAGGTGTACTTTCAATAGCAGTATTTATGTACTCCAGAGCAATAGATGGCTGACCAATTTTGTCATAATGTTGTGCCAAGTAGTACTGGACCCAAAGTAATGTGGTTGGTGGTTCCTCCTTTCCATCATCTTAGGAGAAGAGGGAGAGAGGGAAAAGAAACCAAGGTGAGGCATTACATATATTAAGAGCACCCCCCAAAATGGTTCCTATGTTTATTAATAAGGGAGGTACTATGATAGGAGTTTATTTATGTATCTAGCTATAAAACTCCCCCTAAGTTTATAAGATCTTTGGAAAAGTCTGTATTTTCTTTTCTGTATCCTTACAACCCCTAGCACAATCCCTTGCATATAATAACTTCACAGAACAAACATGGGAGATAAATAAGGTCTAACTACCTAGAAAGAAAACTGAAACAGGTAGAGGGGAGACAAGCTGTACTAGAACTATGAGAGCATACTGATCAGGATGTTATTTACAAAAGGGGAAAAATTAAAAATGTTCTCCATTCATATGAGGTTAAAAAAAAAAAAAAGCCCTGGCTGTTTAATTGAGTTTCTAGCTAATGCACCAAACTGTATATAAATATACTTGTAATGTGGTTATTTTGAATTTGGTGATTATATTCTTAATATATTTTAATATGCTAAATATGCAAAGATGCATAATTTAAGTCAAATAAAAACTATACCCCAAAAATGGGATGACAAGCAAAAAAATTTTTATATTTTAGTTCATGATTTAATTTTAATATACTCACAAGAAAATGTGTAAGTTAAATATACAACCCACACATTAAAAAATTCTTTTTAAATACAAATTTCTAAAATCTGAGAACTGATACGTGCTTTCAAAGAAAGCAATAGATTGCTGTTTTTTAAAATTTTTCCTAGTGAAAGCAGGATGGCTCAGTGGACAAATAATAGGAGTGGAACTCACCAACTCCTCATCTGATAGATCTGCAACAAAAGTGCTGCATATTCTTGGGCATGTCATTGAACCTCTTCCACATTTGTAAAATATGTAGGAAAATGCTGATAATCAAAGGAACATTATGATGATTAACCAATGAAATCATAAGAAAAAGTACTATTAAATTAATCTGAGACCTAGAAACAATGACCAACCCAATAGCAATATGCACCCAGGGTCCCATACTGGGCTTTCCCACTACAGGAACCAGAACTCCTAGGAAAAACAATTGATTCCAGATCTGCAGTGGCAGCGATAAACTGGAATATCTTGTCTTATTAACACCCAAGAAGTTATCAACTACTACTATGGTATGTAAAGAATAGGACCATTTGAGATTTGTAATGTGGTTATTTAGAATTTGGTAATTATATTCTTAACATATTTTAATATCATGCTGAATATGCAACATTCAAATATGCTTAAATCCATGAATTCATAATACTTTTAAAAAATGTATTTGCTGTCTTTGAAGGATGCTATTGAACCAACAATTCATTATTTTGAAAACTCGTAAAGAAATTTTAAAAAGCAGGGAGTGGGGAGAAAAAATCCATTTATCATGCTTTTCCTATGCAAACTGAAACATTGTGTAAGCACATAATAGAGGAAGAAAATTTTCTCTTTTAAAATAATAAAAAATTATAGAGTATCACCAGTCGGTAATTCTTAACAGTTGCTAACATATAAAACAAACACTGTATGCCTACTAATATGAGGAATGGAATTTATTTTATTTAATTTTTTAAAATTTTAATTAGCCACTGTGCTACTGGCTGCCATACTAGCAACAATCTTCTACATCGAACTACCAGTTTATAGGAAATTCAGAGAGCAAGGAATAATGTGTTAAGCAACACATGGGGTACAATCAGCAAACTCTAGACTGGGAAAACTGGAAAAAAAAAATTTCTTCAACAAATAAATTGCAGGAAAACGGATAGGGCAGAAACCCACAGATAAAAAGAGTTTAAGAGACACATCAACCAAATTCAAAGCACACATCTTATCTGGATCTTCATTCAAACAAACTTCAAAAACAGAAAGGCAAAAAAAAATTGACATTTATAACATAACTGGAAATGTGAACATGGACTGAATAGGTATGATTAAGAAAGTATTAATTTTTGTCAGGCACAGTGGCTCATGCCTATAATCGCGGCACTTTGGGAGGCCAAAGCAGGCAGATCACTTGAGGTCAGGAGTTCGAGACCAGCCTGGCCTGGCCAATACGGTGAGACCCCGTCTCTACCAAAAATACAAAAATTAGCCGGGCGTGGTGGCGGGCACCTGTCCCAGCTACTCGGGAGGCTGAGGCAGAAGAATCACTTGCACCTAGGAGGCGGAGGCTGCAGTGAACTGAGATCGTGCCACTGTAAGACAGAGCAAGACTCCATTTCAAAAAAAAAAAAAAAGTATTAATTTTCAGGTATGAGAATGGTATTAGGTTACATTTTAGGTTAAGTCCTTCTCTTTAGACATACTGAAATATCCATAGATAAAATGATGTGATGTTTGGAATCTGCTTCAGAATAATATGAGAGTCGAGAAAAGTAGGAGAGGCTATAAATAAATTCAATCATGAATTAAAAATTATTGAAGCTGAGTGCTGGGTAAAGAGAGGATCATTATACTGTTGCATTTGATTTTGTAGATGTTTTTAAATTTTTACATAACATTCTTTTCAATAAACTAATGTGAGGTGGGACACAGTGGCCCATGCCTATAATCTCAACACTTTAAGAGGCCAATGCAAGATCACTTGAGCCCAGGAGTTTGAGACCAGCCTGGGCAACAAAGTGAGACCCTATGTCTACAAAGAATTTAAAAATTAGCCTGGCATGATGGTGCATGCCTGTGGTCCCAGCTACACAGAGGGCAGAGGCAGGAGGATTGCCTGAACCCAGGAGGTCGAGGCTGCAGTGAGCTGTGTTCACACCACTGCACTCCAACCTGGGGAACAGAGCAAGATCGCGTCTCAAAAAAAAACCCAAAACACAAAAAACAAAGATAATGTAATTCTCTTCTAACCAAGTATCATCACACAATGTGCAAATTAATGGATGTCCCTCTTAAAGGGAAAAAAATTTAATGCACTATGCTTCCTGCCTAAGTAGTAATACTGACCTTCTGATTAAGAATTTCACAATGTATTAAAATTTTCAAGATGTTTTTAAAACATAAAACTTGAGGACTTACCATTGGGGTTAAATAACCGGCAGCTTTTTAGAGAAGTTTCATAACCTACTACTAACTCTTCTATGATTGCCACCTAGAGTACAAACACACAAACACACTTTAATAGAAAAAATACACAGTTACTATTCTTATGCAAAATGTGTTTTCTACTAAAACACTAAATAAACACTCCAACACACACACCCTCCTTTATTAAATATCTTAACCTCTAGATACAAATTTTAAAATACATCATACTTTTGCACAGGTGTGCATTAAGATGTAATTTTATAAAAGCTTATTGGTTACTCCTTTTCAGCTGAACCAGAAATCAGAAAAAGAGTTGGACAAAGACAGGCAATATTGTGGATGATCTATATCTTGATTCTTTTATCAAAGTTTGTATAAATGAACACCCACAATAAACATTTGCAGTTAAGAATTAAATGCTCTGTGAAAAGAGAAATTGTCTAAGTAGATGACAGTAATCAACTTTCAATTTCACAATCCAGGGTAAAACATTAGCAAAACTCAAAAAATACTTTGAGAGTTTGTGAGGTCCAGGAGAATGAGTGGCCATCCACAATTAAGTTGAATGACCTCAACTTAACTGACTCAACAGACTAATAACACCTCTCCCGAAAACCTCAGTAAATTGTGAGGACTACTCACAACTGCAGCTAGGTTATTCTGGTGCACCCATGTTCCCTACTACAAGTTGAGCTACATGCCTACTAAAACTGTTTTGTTTTCTCAAAACTCCTTGCATCAGTTGCATTTATTATCCTAATGGCAGAATTCAGTATTGTGTAAACTTAAGATATGAGAATGAAAACGACTGTTCCCTAAGTTGAATACCAAGGAAAGACTAAAAAGATAAGTTAGGTATTTTTAACCAGTTTAGATCTAAATAAAAATACCTTAAGTAGAAGAAAATCATAAAAATATAGGATTCTATACATAAGACCACTTCATAAGCATCAAAGTCTGACTCTTTCAAAACTGGAAACAAAAGATCCTACTTGGCCACGCATGGCAGCTCACATCTGTAATCCCAACACTTTGGGAGGCCGAGATGGGTGGATCGCCTGAGGTCAAGAGTTCAAGACCAGCCTGGCCAACATGGTCAAACCCCATCTCTACTAAAAATACAAAAATTAGCCTGGTATGGTGGCACGTGCCTGTAATCCCAGCTACTCGGGAGGTTGAGGCAGGAGAATCACCTGAACCCAGGAGGCGGAGGTTGCAGTGAGCCGAGATCACGCCATTGCACTCCAGCCTGGGCTACAAGAGCAAAACTCCATCTCAAAAAAAAAAAAAAAAGATATTTTATGGATGTGATTTATGCAAGAAAAAAAAAGTGAAAGAGCAATAAAAAAGGCCCATACATTGAGTCTCCAACAAAAGACTGGCAAATAAATGCACATTATGTAATTCTGGTTAAAGTGTTTCTTACGTCTCATTTGTTCCATCTTTGACTCTTCAATGTAACTGATTTTTTAGAATCCAACCAATATGTATTGATGACACTGTACTTATAAGCAAAATAGTCTAAATTAAGATTAAAATACCCTTGGCCGGCCACGGTGGCTCACGCTCGTAATCCCAGCACTTTGGGAGGCCGAGGTGGGCAGATCATTTGAGGTCAGGAGCTGGCCAACATGGTGAAACCCTGTCTCCATTAAAAATACAAAAATTAGCCAGGCATGGTAGTACACGCCTGTGATTCCAGCTAGTTGGGAGGCTGAGGCACAATAATTGCTTGAATCCAGGAGGCAGAGGTTGCAGTGGGCCGAGGTCATGCCACTGCACTCCAGATTGGGTGACAGAGCAAGACTCAGTCTCAAAACAGAAAAAAGTTAAAATAACCTCTAAATAAGCATTCTGAATATTATTAACATGTAGCTGAAAGAGTAAGCTGACTTACTAGAACATCAAAAAAACTCTTCTGAACAGAACTTTTTGTCTATCAAATTTAAAATGGAGAAAGATGACTAAGCTAAAACTTAAAAAAAAAAAAAAAAACAAAAAACCTCTGCCTTCTGACTATGAACAGGACTAAAGAAAATGGTGAAGAAATCATTACCTTATCAACTTTTCATAACCTACAGTGACTCATTAAAAGTTTATAGCAGAAAGGAAACAGAAAACAAGAAATAAGTCACTGTCTAAAGAAAAAAAAAAGGATGAAATGGAAAAAAGAGGAATCAGAAGCATTTAAATTGCAAACTGGGAAGACTGACACGAGATTCATGAAACATGTACTACTGTGCACAGATAATCGAGAATCAATAATTCCAAATACCAAGCAAAGAAATGGTAGCCAAAAGAAAATATCATATTACACTTTACCTTTTCTTTGTCTTTGTATAATGATCTTAAAGTATTGAAGACTGGTGGGCAACCCTTGCTGAAATTCATCCTTAGGAACTTATCCAAACATTCTTTAAACTTCTCACCTTGGAAGAGAAAAATCCTTTTGGCTTATATTTATCAAATAATTACTTACATTTACCAAAGTATTTACTTACATTTACCAACTTACATTTAGTAGAGTTGTTAGACAACTCTAACAATGTATAGCTTAAACTTAATATGCATACTCATACTTAAAACCAAGAAAAGAAACTTTAAATCATAAAAGCATTTTTATTCCTTTGAAATTATTCTCACTTACCAGATAAAAAGTTTAATGGCAGCCTTCTTGGCACCAGTCCCCTGGGATACTTAGTCCAGGCCTCCTCGTAAATTTTCAGCCTTTCTAACATATTAGCTGCAGACAAAGAAAAATTCTTTGTTATATGTAATTATAAACTGCATTTTTTTTTTTCTGGAAAATTACGAACTTCTCAAAATATATTAAAATTTAAATATTTAAAAGAAAATTGGAATTATTCGTAATCTTATACCTACTATTTCAACAATTATTTTAGACTATTTCTTTTCAATTTTTTTTATCTTAAGTACATAATTATCTTTATCCTGTTCTGCTTTAGGTAGGCTTTTAAAACCTGAGAACTTCTTTAGTTCTGAAAAAGCCTCAGTTATGATGTTTCCATATTTTGCTGCTTCTCCTACCATTCTCCTTAGCTTTTCCCCTCTAACTCCTCTCCTCTGATTTTGGTCGTGGCTTCTCTTCCATTCTATTAAAATTTTTATTTCAGTAAGTAGGTTTTTCATTTCAGATTCCTAATTGGTACTACTCCTAACTATTCATGTTTCATGGCAGCAATTACCTCTATCTTAGATTCCTCCATCATCTCTACTCTTCCTTTTGCAGACAGTGGTGATTACCATTCCTTGCTGGTGTTCCTAAAACAATCTGAGAATCTTTGTTACAAAGTAATCTGCAACAAGAGGTTTCTCTTGTATATTTCAATGGCTCACAACCAGCCTTGAAGGAAACAAATCAGATCACCTCTGCTGAGGATCCTGCCTATTTGTTTCTGGGGGCCTGTTCCCAAAAGTGGATCCCATTTATGGGACAGAGTGACTGGGGGAGCACAGAGAGTCTGAATCCAAGTTTGACTGACAGAAATTTAACCCCTCTTCCCACAAAGGAACAGTGATGCTCATTCAGCCTGGCTACATTTATGTGACCCTGGCAAGTCACTTTGATGCAGCCACAGCTTACCACAGAGCTTATTCTTGCTTTTAAGAATATATCTCCATTTCTGTTCATGGAAATTTTCTTTAAGAGACAGAGTCTCACACCATGTTGCCCATGCTGAGCTCAAACTCCTGGGCTCAAGCAATCCTCCCACCTCGGCCTCCCAAAGTGCTGTGATCATAAGTGTGAGCCCCTACATTTGGCCTCCTTTCATGTTTTTGATGCTACTATGCATTTGTGAATTTTTTTCTAAAGTTGCTGCTAAATTATTTTCTCAACCATTCTATAAATCTGTAGAAGAAAGGTTTCGGAACATGCTCAATCTGTCATATTAAATAGAAGTTTGCAAGTGTACTTTTGTATTCAGACTTTTTTTTTTTTTTGAGACACAGTCTCGCTCTGTTGCCCAGGCTGGAATGCAGTGGCACTATGTTGGCTCACTGCAACCTCTGCCTCCTGGGTTCAAGCAGTTCTCGTGCCTCAGCCTCCCAAGTAGCTGAGACTACAGGCACATGTCACCACGCCAGGCTAATTTTTTGTATTTTAGTAGAGACGGGGTTTCATCATGTTGTCCAGGCTGGTCTTGAACTCCTGAGCTCAGGCAATCCATCCACCTCGGCCTCCCAAAGTGCTGGGATTACAGGCAGGAGCCACTGCACCTGGCCTGTATTCAGATTTTGAATCAATTCTTAACCACTATTATTCTAGTTGTACTTTTCAATGAGTAAATAAAATATATATTAACAAAAGAAATAAAACTTTGTAAGTTTTAAACAATACTACCTGGCTTAAGTGCTTTTTCTAAGCCTTTGTAATAGGCCCAGTTTTCAGGATTTCTCTCTTGCAATCCTCTGTAAACATCTGTAGCATCTTCCAAACGACATAGTTGCAACAGAAGTTCCCCTGATTAAAAATAGAAAAAAAAATTAAATATCTGAGAAAATCTTCTAATTAGAATTTTAACTTTTCCTCAAATGTTCTCTTAAAATCTTATTATAAATCAATGCTGCTAAGTAGATGGACCTGGTATCCTCCTGAGTTCCCAGTTCCCTTAAGATCATTTACCAAGTTATTTTATCATCTCCTTCCTTTTTTGAAGTTCACATTATTTAGAAATGCCATCCTCTTCACATCCTCAATTTATTCAGAAAATCTGTCCAACGCCAAGCCAGTTTCTCACATTCACTGAACACACTGTCACCAAGCCATCTTCTACTACTCAATTATTCCTGATACCATATGGAACAACTTCAGCATCCAAATTAATGACTCAATCCAATATCCTAACCTTATGATCCCTTAATCAGCTACAAAACAATTTTGCCGTAGCAGTCCTTAATCTGGTCACATTCAAAACCACCTAGACTTTACCTTTTAATGTCTTCCAAGAAGCAAATAAGCACCCTATTTTAAGTTTAATTGTTTTTCTTTCTTTTTGTCTCACTAATCCTACTATTCAACTTCAGAGAAAAAACTATCAGCCTAACAGCAACTGCCAACTCACTGTTTGCCTTCCCTGGGCTGCATGACCCATCACATCCCTGAATGATATTAGCGGCCCCAATTATCAAAAATCAATCTTAAAACCTAGGCTCTTTTGTTTACTAATTTTAAAGCCCAGATCATCCCAACTGTTTACTTGCTCCACACATTCTCATGGAAGGAAACAAACCAGATGAACAGAGACAGTGGTTTCACTATTATATATGAGCTCCAAAGCCATATAAGCTTCAAATATTCAGGATTCCTTTTCTCTATCCTTAATGTGCTTCCCTTCATCCAAGGTATTATTTTTAAGCCACTATTTCACCCTTGCATCCTTCACTCTCTGTTGCATCTTTCGCTCTCATTTGATAATAAAAATGAACACTTATTGAGTACTTACCATGTGCCCATGACTTTTTTTTCTTTGTGACACCATCTCGCTCTGTCACCCTAGCTGGAGTGCAGTGGTGCGATCGATCATGGCTCACTGTAGCCTTGGCCTCCTAAAGCGATCCTACCACCTCAGCCTCCCTAGTAGCTGGAACTACAGGAATGTGCCACCATGCCTGGCTAATTTTGTATGTTTTTTAGAGATGGTTTTTCGCCATGTTGTCCAGGCTGGTCTTGAGCTCCTAGACTCAAGTGATCCACCCACCTTGGCCTCCCAAAGTGCTGGGATTATAGTTGTGAGTCACCATGCCCGGCCACCAGTGACTTTTAAACATTTCACATACATTAACTAATTCAATCCTCAGAACTCTATGAGATAGATTACTATTACTTTCATCACTTTAAAACTTAGAGGACTTAAGTAAATTTCCTAAGAGTCTTGCAGATAGTGATAGAGTTAGGATTTGAATCCAAGCAATTTATCTGAAAGAGCAGATATACATTCATTCTTTCTTTTTGAAGACAGGATCTCATTCTGTCACCCAGACTGGAGTACAGTGGTGCAACCCTGGCTCACTGCAGCCTCAACCACTTGGGCATAAGCAATCCTTCCACCTACCGCAGCCTCCCGAATAGCTGGGACTACAGATGTATGCCAACACATCCAGCTAATTTTTTATTTTTATTTTTTGTAGAGATGAGGCTTCCTTATGTTGCCCAGGCTGGTCTCGAACTCCTGGGCTCATGTGATCCTTTGGTCTCAGTCTCCCAAAGTGCTGGGATTACAGACATGAGCCACCATGCCTTACAAGCCCATATGCTTAGTATCTGTACCAGTGGTTCTCAACCAGGGGCAGTTTTACCAACATTTAGCAATGTCTGAAGACATTTTGTTTGTCTCAGTAAGGGTGTTGAGTACTACTGGCATCTAACGGGTATAAGCTAGGAGCGCTACTAAACATCCTACAATGCACAGAAGAGATCTTCACCCTCAACAACTCAGGCCCAAAATGTCAACATTGCCGGGGTTAACAAAGCCTGCACTATACTAACCAAAAGTCAACTTCATCAAAAACACTAAAAATAACCTGCAGCTGAGTACGATGGCTTACACCTGCAGTAGGAGGCTGGGGATGGGGTTTGAGGGGAGGATCATTCGAGCCTTGTTCAAGTCCAGCCTGGGCAACACAGCAAGACCTCACCTCTAAAATAAAAAATAAAAATAACCTGCACCTTTACTCCCCTCTACACTACACCCATCCTCTTTTCCTTCCCTCTGTCTTCTACCTTTTCCGAGCAGGAGGAACTGGTGGTATAAGAATAAACAACAAAAAATTTTGCCTTGGCTGGGCACGGTGGCTCACACCTGTAATCCCAGCACTTTGGGAGGCTGAGGTGGGCAGATCATCTGAGGTTGGAAGTTCAAGACCAGCCTGACCAATATGGAGCAACCCCATCTCTACTGAAAATACAAAATTAGCCAGGCATGGGGGCACATGCCTATAATCCCAGCGACTCAGGAGCTGAGGCATGAGAATCACTTGAACCCGGGAGGCGGAGGTTGCGGTGAGCCGAGATCGTGCCATTGCACTCCAGCCTGGGAAACAAGAGTGAAACTCCGTCTCAAAAAAAACAAAATTTTTTTTTTGCCTAACTGTGCCCATTCATCCACTCTAAGAAGTTCCTGAGTGATCTTGACCATCTTATCTTCTCCCCAACTATCCCTACCAACAACACTGCCTTGAATTTCTAAAGATCGCTAGAATTTCCAGAGATTGATTCTACCCTCACTTCCCTTCTATTCTCTTTATATACCCTGTCCCATTACCTAACTCAAAGTAGGTATTCAATACATATTTTGTGGAATGAGCTAATAGCCTTATTTCTCATGTCATGTAGAAAATGGAAGCAATTAGAAGGAACTCCAAAATACCCATTACATCTACACATTTACTTGCCTGCCACTTATACTCCACCACCACTTGTTGATGTGGATGAACTATTCATGTTCTTACCTAAGATTAATCCTTCACATGACATCAATCTACCACATGACATCCTCTCTACTGTATCAAATATTCTATCTCTATTGGATCACTCCCCAGTCAGCACAAACACACACTATGAAAAAAACAAAAACAAACAAACAAAAAACTTCTTTTGAGCCTGCATCCCATTTCATCTACCAGCACCCCCATTTGTTTCCTTTACAGCAAAACTCCTCAACTGAGTCATGTATGCTTCCTATCTTCAGTTCCTCTACTCTCAATCTCTTTTAAATAGACTTCATGTTTGGGCTTTTACCATCCTTCTTCTAGAGGCTCAGAAAGTGCTTTTGTTAAGGTCACCAATGCCTTCTAAATTGCTAAAAATCCACTGGTCAGTTGTGAGTCCTTTATCTAATTTGATCTATCTGCCATTCTTCCTCATTAATACAGTTATCAAAGGGATCAAATGAAACAATCTGTCATTTATTTCCATAAAGAAACTTGAGGTCCAAGCCTTGACCCTGGTCACAGAGCTACTTAGTGGCCAATGAGGCAAGTTTTTTCCAGACTTGTAATCTTTCCAGTAAGTCAGAAATTTCCCTCCTTTATGATTAACAGACTACTAAAGTATGACTACTTCAAATGAAAGAAGTTTGTCTCGGATCTGCAGTTCACAAGAGAGCTCCCTACAGAAGCCTTAGACTTCCAGTTGTTCTTGTCAGTAGCAATATCCTCTGATGAAAGTTCATCTGGCAAACAATGGCTATACCTATTATGCACATGGATGTATACTAAACTTTTCCAGTGTTCAACCTCAAGGTGAACCAAGGTAATTTGAAACCAGCAAACTTCAGTTCCCTAGACTAGCAAGGACAAAGCAGCATTTCAGAAGGTAATTTTTTTAAAAACTCACTTGTCCTTTCATTACTTGTTATTCTTCTTTCATTTTCTATAATCACACCCTCAACTTCTAAAACTGTTAAGACTCGTTTTTCTCAGCCCTCTGCTGAGTGGAATCTAACCCTTCTATCACAATCTACACATTATGAACCCAAATCTCTGCTCTCCCTTTCTTCCAGAATTCATATTCTTTTTATGTCATCAAAGACATTCAGATTAACCATAAAGACTCTCAGAAATATCCTACATGTATTTTAGTAAAGACTGATTCATCAATATATATTATTAGCAATACATCTGGCACACACTACATACACTGTAATTAATAAACTATTTCTAAGAAATGTAATCCTCTGTCTTATAAAACTAATTGTCTCTTATGTTTTGATTAAATTCCATAATATTTTTCATACAAAGATATTTTAAAGAATATCAGTCATTTCATTCAACTACTTTTTATTGTTCACAATCAACTTTCTCCTCTATCTACAATATTGTTTAAATGTACATTTTCCCACATTACAAATTATTCAAAGTATATGAGTAAGAAATAGATTTTCTATCATCAAAAAGCTGAATTATATGAAATTGTCAGCAGCAACTAGATTTTTCAGCCTTGCTCTCTGTCATATTTCAATATTAGAATTAATGACATTGTTTTAAAAATACCTTTGGTTTCTTCTACAGCAAGTTTATCACAAATCTGCTTTTCATAGGTACAAAGATGTTCCAAAGCTTCTCTATAGAGACCTGCTTCCCGAAGAACTTGATTCTGATATAAGAGTAGTTCACTATATTCATAATCCACCTTATCAGGGGATGTCTGCATATGGATAAAAGGAATACTGACAGTAAGAATTTTATTTTCACATCAGAAAATTGTTCACAATACTCAAAAACATGTAAGAAGTCAAAGGATAACATCTGGTTGAAAAAACTAATTTCAAAAATATTCTTAAGTATCTGTCTATGGAGCAACTAAGTAAATAATGACAATATTAGGATATAACAGGTTGAAGAAAATAATAATCCACAAGTCCTTACATACAATAAACATGGGGAAGAAGGGAAAGCTCTTACTCAGCAGTAGAATAACAAATAATAAACCTACAAAGAATGACAAGAGTTAAGAGAATCACCATTTGCAATTATCATAGTAATAGTTGATTCACACAAGAATCATAATCAATGAATGCTAAAACTAGAGGGCGAAAGTTTGATGAGCAACAGACTCTTCAGTCTCAAATTGCATATTAAACACAAAGAGAGAAAAATAAGTTTACAGCTGCAAATACAACTTTCACCATGTAATCAAATGGAACAAACTGATGGCATGTGCCTCTTGATGTAACGAACTGAGAAGGACCCAACATCATTTATGTGGTTTCCTGCCAAAATTACAAGACTCTATCTAACAATGAGGAACTATCAGAAAAATCCAAACTGAGGGACATCCTACAAAAGCACAGCCTTCTTCAGAAATGTCTGTCATAATACACAAAGGAAGTTTTCAAAACTGTTTCAGATTAAAAGAGGCTGAAGAGAAATGATAACTAAATGTAAGGTGTGATTCTTAATTGGATCCTGCAATGAAATTAAATCGCTAGAAAGGCTATAACTAGGACAATTAGTAAATTTTGAATATGGGCTGGGGATAACAGTCTATCAATGTTAAATTTCCTAATTTTTATAATCTATCCATATAATACTATCTAGAGAACTGACAACTATACAGTTATTTTTAGAAAATACACACTAAAGCATTTAGGGGTAAAGGAGCATGATGTCTTCAATTACTCTCTAACATTTAAGGAAGAGAATTAAAATAGATAAATAGATACACAGATTTTTAAAGTAAATGCACCAAATATTAACAATTAGTTTAGTATGAATGAACCCCTATGTAGAGTTCTTCGTGCTATTCTTGCAACTTTTAAGTTTGAAACTATTTCAAAATTAAAAGTAAGCCAGACAATGCCCTTTTTTTTTTTCAGTTATACTTAGAATCAGACTTAGTAAAATGGCTTCTAGTTATTATTACCTGTTGTGTTTTCCTAAATTCTTCTAAAATCTTTGCTGCCATTTCATAATCTTCTAATAAATGGTAAGCAATAGCATAACCAATCCATGATGCTCTCTGTGCAGGTCGAAGCTGAAGTAATTGGTATCTCGTTTCCTGGAAAATAATAAACACTTTTTCTTAGGTTTTCAGTAACAGCAAGTGCTCCTTTAATATTAGGCCAGGCGCAGTGGCTCACGCCTGTAATCCCAGCACTTTGGGAGGCTAAGGAGGGCGGATCACGAGGTCAAGAGATCGAGACCGTCCTGGCCAACATGGTGAAACCCCGTCTCTATCAAAAATACAAAGATTAGCTGGGCATAGTGGCGCACGCCTGTGGTCCCAGCTACTCGGGAGGCTGAAGCAGGAGAATCACTTGAATCCGGGAGGCAGAGGCTGCAGTGAGCCAAGATGCGCCACTGCACTCCAGCCTGGCGACAGAGTGAGACTCCGTCTCAAAAGAAAAAGAAAAAGATCATATTAATTTATCCCACAACCCTAAGCATTTTACAACACAATGATGGGAACAATAATAGAAAATACTTCAAACATCCATATTGTGTAGCTTTATGGAGGCAAAGAAATATTTGTTAAGAACATAATGAAGCCTCCAAGCTAATCTTAGACATTTTTTTAACTTAAGACCAGATTTAAGTTTTTAAAACTTAAGACCAAACTTAAGATCCTTCTTATTTCTTGATCTGCTTACTCCAAGAAAAGAGACAGGATGGAAAGAACAGCACAAAGGAAAAATATTCAAAAATTTTTTAAAAAATTAAGTGTCCAACTACAGAGTTAAGATATATTTGGAGAAAAATTCAGCAGGTACTATCATATAAAAAGGAAAGAACAAGAAAGAGGAACTAAATAGATCTAACACTAATTTAAGGGTTAAAACTGAAGCTACAAAAATATATTAGACTCAGAGCAGGTAGAAAGAAGAAACAAAACATTTGCTTTTGCCAGGTGTGGTGGCTCATGCCCGTAATCCTAGCACTTTGGGAGACTGAGGCAGGGCGGACTGCCTGCGCTCAGGAGTTCGAGACCAGCCTGAACAACATGGTGAAACCTCATCTCTACTAGAATATAAAAAATGAGCTGGGCATAGTGGCACATGGCTGTAGTCTCAGCTACTCAGGAGGCTGAGGCATGAGAACCGCTTGAACCCAGGAGGTGGAAGCTGCAGTGAGCACAGATCGTGCACTCCAGCCTGGGCAACAGAGTAAGACTCTAATGTCTCAAAACAAAACAAAAAAATTGAGGGCCAAGTAAATATTAAAGAGTTACACGTCAATACCAGACAAAAGCATTGTTTATTTGAGGAGTACTGATGTTAATTTTTTTTTTTTTTTTTTTTTGACAAGAGTTTCACTCTGTTACCCAGGCTGGAGTGCAGTGGCACGATCTCGGCTCACTGCAACCTCTGCCTCCTAGGTCCATGCCATTCTCCTGCCTCAGCCTTCCGAGTAGCTGGGACTACAGGTGACCGCCACCACACCCGGCTAATTTTTTGTATTTTTAGTAGAGACAGGGTTTCACCGTGTTAGCCAGGATGGTCTCGATCTCCCGACCTCGTGATTCACTCGCCTCGGCCTCCCAAAGTGAGCCACCGCGCCCGGCCTGATGTTAATTTGTATCAAATTAAGTCAATCCTACACAGTAGGCAAAATCTGCCTCACCATAAAATAATTTATTTTTAAAGATCTGATTATTCCAATCATAAACACAACCACTACGGTAGGAGGGAAAAAAGTTCAATTAAATTATCTTCAAAATGAAACAAAAAAATTCCGTATCAGAAAGTACTCAAAGTTGTACATATTTTCCCCTTAGAATTTTTTTTAAAAAGTCCATTTTACTTACCCTATAACCCTCAAGATCTCGCATCTGAATCTGTAGTAAGGAAAGGTCCCTTAAGATTTGAAGATTGTCTTTATCCCATTTTAGTGCATTTCTGTAACACTTAATGGCTTCATCATACTTCTTGTCTGACCTCTGAAGAAGGCCATAAACGTGCCAACCTAAAGAATTTAGTTAAGGATACAACCTACAAGTCAAAAATTACTATTCCAAATGACTTCCCAAGAAACTCGGAGAACTACAGCCATTTATAAAATTACAAGCTTAAAAAGAGGGAGGGGGAGGGAGAAGGGGAGATTGATTTCAAAGATATAAAGCAGTTTAATACAGTGGAAAAGAGCACAGCTTTTGGAGCCAGACAAAATTAGGTCTAGCCTGCCTTACCAGCTCTGTAACCTTGGACAAATCAGTCTCATTAAGTTTCCTCATTACTAAAATGTAAACAGAAATAGTCTATGCAGCAAATCATACTACTGACAACTAAATGGGATAACATATATAAACTGCTCACTGGCTGGCACAAAGTCAATATATGTATGTAAGCAGTTACTATATTATTAATAGTAAAAGGAAAAAGAAGGAATGGGTCTTCATGGAATATAATTATGTAAAGTCATGAAGATTTTATTTTCTTGAACCAAAAGATCCTTAGGACAACCCTTAGTGTAATACAAAGTTTCTAAAACTCAGCCACATACAAAATAAAAACATTCGTTCATTTAACCATAATTATTAAAACTTCTTTTCCTTTTTTTGAGACAGGTCTTGCTCTGTCACCCAGTCTGGAGTGTAGTGGTGTGGTCTTTGCTCACTGCAACCTCCACTCCCTGCGCTCAAGTGATCCTCCCACCTCAGCCTCCTGAGTAGCTGCGACTATAGGCGCACACCAGCATGCCAGATATTTTTTGTATTTTTGGTAGAGATGGGACCTCGCCATGTTGCCGAAGATGGTCTCAAACTCCTGAGCTCAAGCAATACCTGCCTTGGCCTCCCAAAGTGCTGGGATTACAGGCATGAGCCCCCGCACCCAGCCTAAAACTTCTTAACAACTAAGATGTAGGTCATCAAAACAGCCTCCTATATTCAAAGATCTTAAAGTCTAGTAAAGGACAAATAAATAAGCAAAATTAAAGTAGGCTGTAAAAACTGCTATAATGAAGGAAAAGTATTCCACTTCCCAAATACAGCCCTTTTTCACTTTAGGTCTTGATTACTGTACCAGCTACCCAATCCACCTATCTTCAGTCTCTCTTCTTTTATTCTCCTACCAAAGTAACCAGGTTTTGTTGTCAGTTTTTTTGTTGTTTTTTGTTTGTTTTTGAGATGGAGTCTCGCTCTGTCATCAGGCTGGAGTGCAGTGGCATGATCTCAGCTCACTGCAACCTCTGCCTCCCGGGTTCAAGCAATTCTCCTGCCTCAGCCTCCCAAGTAGCTGAGATTACAAGCATGTACCACTACGCCCAGCTAATTTTTGTATTTTTAGTAGAGACAGGGTTTCACCATGTTGGCCAGATGGTCTCAATCTCCTGATCTCGTGATCCACCGGTCTCCCAATTATTATGTTTTTTAAAAGAGACAGGGTCTTGCCCTATCACCTAGGCTGGAGTGCAGTGGCATGCTCATAGCTCACTGTAGCCTCAAACTCCTGGGCTCAAACAATCCTTCTACCCCAGCCTCCAGAGCAGCTAGGACCACAGGCACATGCCACCACCATATGCAGTTAATTTTTTATTTTCTATAGAGACGAGGTCTCACTATGATGCCCAGGCTAGTCTTGAACTCCTACCCTCAACTGATCCCCTTGCCTCAGCCTCCCAAAGTGCTGAGATTACGGGCATGAGTCACTGTGGCTGGCCCAAAATAATCTTTCTAAAACACACTCAAAAGAAAAAAGGAAGTCTTTCTTTTCCAGAAATTTATAATGTTTCTTTCTGAGATCAAGCTCAAACTTCAATCTGGCCAGGTGGGGTGGCTCACATCTGTAATCCAAGCACTTTGGGAGGCAGTGGTAGGCGGATCACTTCAAGTCACAAGTTCAAGACCAGCCTGGTCAACACTGCAAAATCTCGTCTATACTAAAAATACAAAAAACACCCAGGCATGGTCACATGCACCTGTATTCTCAGCTACTCGGGAGGCTGAGGCAGGAGTATTACCTGAACCCGGGAGGTGGAGGTTGCAGTGAGCTGAGATCACACCACTGTACTTCAGACTGGGTGACAGAGTGAAACTCCGTCTCAAAAACAAAAAAACAAACAACAACCTTCAATCTAACAACTTTTAGGCCAGAGGTCCTCAACAGAGTCAATAAAATACAGAATGTTGGCCGGGCATGGTGGCTCATACCTGTAATCCCAGCACTTTGGAAGGCCAAGATGGGTGGGTGGCTTGAGATCAGGACTTTAAGACACCAGCCTGGCCAATATGATGACACCCTGTCTCTACTTAAAAAATATAAAAATTAGCCAGCTTGGTGGTATGCACCTGTAATCCCAGCTACTTGGGAGGCTGAAGCAGGAGAATCACTTGAACCTGGGATGCGGAGGTTGCAGTGAGCTGAGATCGTGCCATTGCACTCCAGCCTGGAAGACAAGATCAAAACTCCATCTGAAAAAAAAAAAAAAAAAAAAAAAAAAAAAAAAAAAAAAAAATCCCAGAATGTTTAGGGTGGCAGGCATGAATGAAAAACACGTATTTAATATTACGCGTTTTTAAAGCAAGTCAAAATATTACAAATTTTATTTGAAAAATAATCTTGGTTTCCGCAATATAAATGACAAAGTATAACTGGATCAAATCCTCCCGGCTGTTTGGATCATGGTTTTATAAACTAGGAAACACTACCCATTAAAATCTAGCTCCCATTACCTATCTTTCCACTCCCTCCCATTTCTATCACTAATACCCTGTATTTCAGGACTTTACTTCTCTTAAATATTACAACAGCCACATAACTTGACTCTCATCTTCACCTCCTAAAAATCCTATCCCCACGGAGTTTAATACCGCCAAAAATTTAAAGAAAATTATGTCCATCAAGAAGAACTCAAATAAATCATAATAAAGACATTGGCAGAACACTATACAATCATTAAAAATTATGAAAAGACATCTATCTACGACAGTCTTAACAGTTAAGCCTTTACTTATCTTTCTAGTCCTCTAGTCACTCTCAATTCACATACTTCCACTTTACTGGATTAATGACAACTACTTGAATAAACCACAACATTTTATGTAATACTCCCAAATGTTCTGTAAATGTTTCTCATCAGTATCTTCCTTCACCAGACTATAAGTTCTTTGAGAGCAAATCTTTTCTTTGTCTGTACCAAGCCAAGGGCCTGGTAAACATCTGAAAAACTGCTAAATATTTCAGCACTTAAAATTGTGTCAGCCCACAAAATAGGTACAGAAATATTTGCTAAAGTCTATCTTAAAAATAGCAACCCACAATATTTTCTCTATCCTCCTTCAGATATTTCTATTTGCTCTTACTCTCCGTTAATAAAATATTTATCCAATATGGTACTTAGCATTATCAGTGGCTATGTTATATATCTCATCATTAAATCTTTAAACCAACACAGTGAGGTAAATATGATTACCCCATTTTACACATGAAGAAACTGAGCCCTAAGATCACACAGAAAGAAGCTGAAATGGGTTCTGAACCTAAGTGAGGCACATTCTAAGCCTATACTCCAAAAGCTTGTGCTCTAAACCAGGGTATTATAATGCCACTCTAATACTCCTTATTTTATATCCTTTTTCCTTTTGAGACCCACCACTTACCACTATCACATTGGTGATGAGCTTTCAACAAATGGGGTAGGGGAGTGCCACACAAATATTCAGACCTTAGCAATGCCCCCTTTTTAAGAGTGAGAAAAGCTTTCATAGATATTTTTAAGGCAAGTCCCATTTATCTGTGAGAAAACAGAATGTTAAAACATGGTTAGGTATATAAAAATGTTCCCTGAATGAAGGCAGTTGCTTGCTGTTACCCTATTTAAAAAAGAATAATTTCCTCTGTAATTGCACAATAAGAGAGATCTAAAACTTTGACTCTCAAATTGCTGCCTTAGCTCAAAACACCCCACTCAAACCTTAAATATATCTCAAAAAGGATACACACATGACTCTTCAAGTCATTTCTCAAACCTCTACGAACCAATTCATAAGCTTCTTCCTTTTTCCCCAAACAGTTCAATGTTAATCCTTTCATAGCCAGGGTTTCTATTTTTTAAAAACAAAAAAGAAAAGGAACATTAAAAAAAATTAAATATTAAAATAACAACAAAACATAATCTCAAAAACAAATGCTACATTGCCTTAAGAACTAAAAATTTCAAGATTACTAAGATACTTTCCACTTTCTTGCAGATTTAAAACATTTTTAAAAATTGGCAATCCAAGTAAACACCGATTTCCAGACTCTAATCGGAAAGAGACTCTCCATTTTTTTTTTTTTTTTTAAAAGATAAAAGATACAAAATACATGCTATTTGACTAGAAAGATAATCTAGTAATTCATTCTTCAGGGGAATTCCATGGGATAACCTTATATATCCACTTCATTAAAATATAAAAACTTTATCTTGAAAACATACTTTATTTCTGTGAACCTAGGTTATATACCGGTTAAATTCATTCTTCAGTGATTAAAAAAATACACATAAATTTCCTACATTTTTTATTTTCCTAAATTTATTTTAAAATGATTGAGATTACTATTAAATATACAAGAAAAAGATGTCAGAAATCTGTCATTAGCAACCAAAAGATTAAGAGTTAAAAGAAATATTAAGTTTTCAGAAAAGAGGAAAAACAAATTCTAATTCTATATGTATCCTATGAAGCCTAAAGCGAGTGAAAATATTATTTGCCTAACTTTTTAATTTATTTGATTTGATTTGCTTAACTTTTAGACTAAAATTTAGACTTTAGAGAGAAATTCATTAGGTATAAAGGATAAGGATTAAAGATATAATCCTGAGGAAGAATCAATATGTACTGTTTAAAAATACTTTCGGCCAGGCGTAGTGCCTCACACCTGTAATCTCAAGACTTTGGGAGGCCAAGGTGGGCAGATCACTTGAGGTCAGGAGTTCCAGACCAGCCTGGCCAACATGGTGAAACCCCACCTCTACTAAAAATACAAAAATTAGCCAAGTGTGGTGACGGGCACCTGTTATCCCAGCTAGTTGGAAGGCTGAGGCACAAGAATTGCTTGAACCCAGGAGACAGAGGTTGCAGTGAGTCAAAATTGCCCCACTGCACTCCAGCCTGGGCAACAGAGTGAGATTCCGTCTCAAAAACAAACAACAAAACTTTCAATGAAATTATGACAATTTATATGCAACCTGATTTCAGATATGTTACAGTGGCAGGGTAGGGAGTTGGAGAATCACATTTCAGAAACGGAAAAACAGGCTGGGCGCAGTGGCTCATTGTAATTCCAGCACTTTGGGAGGCCGAGGTGGGTGGATCACCTGAGGTCAGGAGTTTGAGACCAGCCTGGCCAACATGGTGAGATCTCATCTCTACTAAAAAAAATCAGCCCAGCATGGTGGCACATGCCTATAATCCCAGCGACTTGAGAGGCTGAGGTAGGGGAATTGCTTGAACCCAGGAGGTGGAGGTTGCAGTGAGCTGAGATTGCACCACTGCCCTCCAGCCCGGACAGCAGAATGAAACTCCATCTCAAAAAAAAAAAAGAAGAAAAAAACAGTGAAATAATGTAGGGAAAACTGCATTTCAGAAACAATGAAATCTGATACTTTTCTATATTGACACATTATCAGTATGCCTACTTTAGAAATGATATCAAACAACGTGATGCTCAGCTGGTCAGCAAAAATAAATAATTTTTAATATGGAAAAAGAGAGAGAGAAATTTATTTCTATTTATTTATGTTTTTTTAAATATATGTTTTGTCATAATAAAGACAGGGTCCCACTATGTTGCCCAGGCTGATCTTGAATTTCTGGACTCAAGCAATCCTCTTGCCTCAGTCTCCCAAAGTGTTGGGATCATAGGAGGGAGCCACAGCACCCAGCGGAGAGATAAATTTAGATACTTTTATCTCCATTGTTTTCCGTCTCCAAACAATTACAGTAAAAGAAAGTATAAAGTGAAATGCAGTGAAAGAAAGTGAGAATTATTATAAACACAGAACAAAAAAAAAGCAAGGAATCTAACGGAGAATTATTACTCTCCTCATCTTCAATACTAAGAGTATATTATCAACAGTTACTGAAAAGCCATGTTTCTTAACTGTACAAATGAGACCTGCGAAAACTTATTTTTCCTTTGCCTCCTCTCAAGTTTAGCCACACACTCTCCCCTTGCTCTACAAATATCTCACCATCCAACAATCTACCTTCACACAAGCAAAAGCCTGTACACTTTCAGAACATTACAATATACAAATCATGTCTTAAACATAACTAGGTCTTGAAAAACTGAAAAACATAAATTAAAAATATGATAGTTCATGAGCAAAAGGACCAAATGGTCACTTTCTGAATAAGCTTATTATAAAGCATAAAATTTATCCAGCTCAACCAAAGTTCTAAAGTAAATTTTGGCATTCTATCCTATTATTTCTCTTTTCCTACAGAGCTAATATTCAAACTAAGAACAAATCAGAACTCAAGTAAAATGTGTTATCATTTTCTTGATATTAAATTCAAAATTCAGTATTAAATTTCACCTTCTCACAGAAGTCAAAGATGAGAGGGTCTGTTCTCTCTGGAAAACAGTTAAGGCAGCTGGGAAGAATACAATCCACTAAGAGAAGCCAGACAGGTATGTAGTAAAGCTTTATCTACTTGCACTTACCTCCATGCTCTGCAAATTTGGGATTAGAAAGTATTTGTTTACAGAATTTCAATCCATTTCTATACTGTTTGTGTTCATAACACCTCTGTCAAAACAAACAAAAAAAATTCAAGTTTAGCAAGGAATGCAAACAACATTAAATTAAACACTAAATTTCTCTACTCTGTTTAAAAAAAACAGAATGTTATTTCCATACGCTTCTAAATCCCGGAAAAATGCCAATAAAAAATACAAAAGGTTCAAATACAGGAAGTAAAATAAAGACAAACGAACAGAATACAGATTAGTAAAGTCCAACAACTGAGTAATGCAGAAAGAGAACAGAAAAATAAATGGTATAGAATTTTTTTTTTTTAAAGACTGAGACTCACTCTGTCACCTAGGCAGGGCACAGCGGCCTTATCCACCTGGGCTCAAGGAATACTTCTATCTCAGCCTTCCAAGTAGCTAGGACTACAGGCACACGCCACCACACCTGGCTAGTATTTTTATTTTTTGTAGAGACAGGGACTCACTATGTTGCCTAGGCTGGTCTCAAACTCCAAGATTCTCAAGCGATTTTGGGACTCACTCAAGCAATCTTCCTGCCTCGGCCTCCCCAGGGGCTGGAATAATAGGCATGAGCCACTATGCCCAGCTAGTTTTCTAAAGAACATTTTATTTTTACTGAAGAATATTTTCTTTTTACTGAAGCTTTCAAGCTGAAAGGGCCAAAAATGTCCATGCAAAATACATGGAAAAAATACCCAGACTGTAACATATCACAGTGAAATCTCAAAGCCTGAAAATAAAAAAAAAAAAAAGGGCCTTAAAAACTTCCAGAGAGGGAAAAAAAACAAGTCACATAAAAAAGATCTATAATCAGAATGGCAGTGCACTCTTATTCCAAAGTAAAAATGAAATACTGTTGAAATCTAGAAGACAAATATACAGCCTTCAAAATTCAGAGTGAAAATTAAGTTTCAACTTATAATTCTATACCCAGCCAAGTCATCAATCAAGTACAGTCAGTCCCCATATCCATGGGTTCTACATCTGTGGAGTCTGCTAACTACAGATAGAAAGTATTCAGAAAAAAAAAAAAAACAAACAAAAAACTGCGTCTATACAAAAGTACACTTTTTTCTTGTAATTAATGTCTAAGCAATACAGTATAACAACTATTTACACAGTATTTACATTGTATTAGGTATTATAAATAACCTAGAGATAATTTACAGTATACAAGAGGATGTGCGTAGGTTATATGCAAATACTATGCCACTGTATATCAAGGACTTGAGCATCCCTGGATTTTGGTACCCAAGGGAAATCCTGGAACCAACCTCGCAAAATGTCATTTTGCTCCCATACATGAAGACTATATAAGAGGCTAGGCATGGTGGCTCATACCTGTAATCCCAGCACTTTGGGAGGCCGAGGGGGGCAGATCATATGAGGTCAGGAGTTCGAGACCAGGCTGGTCAACATGGTGAAACCCTGTCTCTACTAAAAATACAAAAACTAGCCAGGCCTGGTGGTGCTACCTGTAATCCCAGCTACTCAGGAGACTGAGGCAGGAAAATCATTTAAACCCAGGAGGCAGAGGTTGCAGTGAGCGGAGATCGTGCCACCACACTCCAGCCTGGGCAACAGAGTGAGACTCCGTCTCAAAAAAAAAAAAAAGAAAAAAAACCCCAAACAAACCAAAATACCAAGACTGTATAAGAGCAAAATGACATTTCAAAGCTTTGCAAAAAGCTAAACTTTTGTGTCCACATATTCTTCCTTAAGAAGCCATTAAAAGAAGATAAATTTTTAAAAAGGCACTACGGAGGGCCGGGCGTGGTGGCTCACATATGTAATTCCAGCACTTTGAGAGGCCGAGGTGGGCAGATCACGAGGTCAGGAGTTCGAGACCAGCCAGGCCAATATGGTGAAACCCCATCTCTACTAAAAATACAAAAATTAGCTGGGCATTGTGGCGGGCACCTGTAATCCTCGCTACTCGGGAGGCTGAGGCAGGAGAATCATTTGAACCCGGGAGGCAGAGGTTGTAAGTGAGCTAAGATCACGCTATTGCATTCCAGCCTAGATGATAGTGTGAGACCATATCTCAAAAAAAAAAAGCACTATAGAACTTAGTAATTAAATAGGGAATCTAATACAGAAAAAAGAACTAGAGAGTAGCCACTCCAGACTGGAGCAGAAGTCAAAAGCTGCTATGGAATAGGTTTCCAGCAAGAGCAAAAATTGAACTAGTGTGCTTGCTAATATGGAAAATGTTAATCATAAGCTCATGACAGAAATACAGGCACACTTGCAGAACATGAGCAACAGGTCTACAGAAAACCAGGCAACTGCCTAAATAATAGGTATTAACTCCACAAAAAACAAAAGCTTGTATAAGACTTGGATTTAGTATAAATTTGGCTCAATACTGAACAATACATGCATAGTTATAAAAATGCAAACACTCTGTACTAGTTTATAAAAAACTTGTGATATGGCTGGGCGCAGAAGATCATGCTTGTAATCCCAGCACTTTGGGAGGCCGAGGCGAGCAGATCACTTAAGGTCAAGAGTTCGAGACCAGCCTGGCCAACATGGTGAAACTCCATCTCTACTAAAAATACAAAAAAAAAAAAAAAATTAGCCAGGCATGATGGCATGCAGGCGCCTGTAATCCCAGCTGCTCAGGAGGCTGAGGCAGGAGAATCACTGGAACCTGGGAGGCAGAGGTTGCAGTGAGCCAAGATCATGCCACCACATTCCAGCCTGGGCAACAGGGCCAGATTCTGTCTCAAAACAAAAAAAAGAGAAAAAAAAAAAAAACAAAACTCATGATCTAATTATGTTGAGGAACGAGGAAAATGAAAGTGGGCAAATGTGTGAATAAGTTCTCAGTCCTCATTTTCAAAAGCTAGAGGTCAACAAATATTTAAAAGCTATGTATCAAGAAGAAATAGTGATGTATTACTAAGCAACAAGAAGGCAAATACCAGACAAAATAAAGAACTGAAGTTGCTTGATTCTGGAGTAGGAAACCAAGTGGATGGGAGAAAAGAGAGAATATTATTTGTTTCATCATATATCTTTTAGTGCTAGTTGACTTTTAGACATCAACATATGCTTTCACATGAAAATTTATTTTTAAAGCATTGTATTTGTTACAGAAAAAAAATGTGCATCTAAAACATACAATTCGTGCCAGAACACATTGACGTAAATTTTTAAAATTTTGCTCATAATTTTTGAGGCAATATATTTAAAATCTGGGAAGGAAATTAATGCAAGTGATGGCAAAAATCATGGCAGAAAATGTGTAGAAACAGAAAAATAAAAATGTAAAAATTTACATTTTAGTATCAAGAAATCAATTAATTAAGTTCATACTAAGGCAAACTAGAGTTGTTTTACAACCACCTATATACCCATCATCTCTACTTTGTTGTTGCTTTGAGACAGGATCTCACTCTGGCCCAGACTGGAGTGCAGTGGGTCAATCACAGGCTCAAGCAATCCTCCTGCCTCAGCCTTCCAATGCTGTTGTTTTGCATCTGAAACCTAATACATACAAATACAACTGATTTTCTTGCCCAAAATGTATTCTGCACCAAGTCTTCACCATCCTGAAGATAGAGTTGATGCCCCCGCTTCAACTCAATCAACTAGATGATTATGCAAAAAAAAAAAAAAAACTAATCATCTTTGGTACTTCTCCTTCCTTTATACTTCTGTCCTCTAGTAGGTCCCATCAGACCCAGTTTCTCAGCAATAGCTTCCTAACTGGTTGAATATTTTTCTTTGTCTCCCACAATCAACTATGCATTCAGCAGGCACAGTGATTTTAGGGACAAGAGGAGGAGAAAGCAGAAGCAGTTACTTGAGAGCTGTCATTCACCATATGTAGCCAAAGAAACATAGTAAGACTAAGTAGCTAAATTTAGTGCTCCCATTTACTTAGCAGAAAGCCTAAAAGTAACTTGTTTTTCTTACAATAAGAAAGCACTAAAGGAAGCTATGATGTAAAGACTAACATAATTAAAAGGAATGTTATTAACTTCTTGCTGTTTGTGAAAACTATATACCTATAAAGAAGAGGGTTAAGTGTCACTGCTCATAAAACCATCAGCTTTCTGAAATTTTACATTTATAAAAATGTAGTTAGGTGACTTTCACTTTTGGCATGATGAAGTAAGTGAAGCTCAACTTGTTCTTTCATCATAAACAAAACGGGACAAAATATATGAAATAACAGGTTCAACAGGTGGTGCTAACAGGTGGCGGAAGACTGTGAACCAAGAGAAAGGGAAACAAACATGATGAGCTCTAGAAATGCCATCACTTTATACCTGGAGGCACTTTCTATATCACAGCACAGGAGGAAGGATCCTAAGCAAACTACAGGAGTCCACAGAGTTAAGAAACAAAGACTGATGTTCAATGAGGCTGAGGTACTCTGCAAGAGATAGAACTACCCTGAGAAAGAGATCCAAAAATCCATAGAAGGTCCCCATGTGTCTGTTGTTGAAAACTGTTGAGTACACTAAGTTTTGCATATGGAGGGTGAAATATAACAAGGCCAGACAAAGAATGATCAGGACTCATTAAGTTTAACAATTCTCATGGCCCACAAGGTAGTGAGAGTTCCAACTTGCCAGAATGGAGTGTCAACGAACAGCTGTAGAATTCAGCAAATACTGCAAAAATGTCATTCCTTAAGAGTAGACAAACACTAGCCCTAGAGTATTACTCTAGACCCACCCTAACAAACCCTCAAAAAAATCAGGTTGACAGACAAGCATCTTTACTGTGCACCACAACAAAGTCCAACACCACTCTTCAAAGACAGTTAAATTTAGTAAAATAATATAAAACCTATAATGTATAACATCTAATAGAAAATATCTAGACAGCTAAGAGCAGGAAAACATGATCCATAATCAGGAGAAATTAAAATGTGATGGAATTATGATAAAGAAGTTAAAACAACTATTATAAATGTGCTCAAAATTTAAGCAATGGATAAACAAATGAAGAGGAAAATATATTTTAAAAAACAAATAGAATTTATAAAGATGAAAATACAGTATTAAGGCTGTG